ATATTGTTTGATATTTATAATATTTATATTAGTGAATTTTCTATTGGCAATAGTGTTATTATGAAGTATTATTGAATTATATTTAAATATTAATTAAATCATTTGAGAATTATTGATTTACATTGTATATGATTGTTTAATATTTTTACTTTAAATGTTTTGTCAGGAGGGGTGATTGTTAAGTTGGGTGGGGGACTTCCAATGAATCGGGGAGGGGGGAGCACAGGGAGAAAACATCCGAATTCATAATAAATAATAGTGTACCCATATATGTATGTAAAATAAGCCATCACTCATAACTTATGTCTCGTAAGGTAATAATAATAAAGATTTAAGCCTGTATACAGTGTATATTAATCACATATTAAATCAATATTCCAAGAAATATAACACATGGTTCTCGTAAGGTATTAATTCCGATAATTCATATAACATATTATATACAACTATAATAATTATTATATTCTACTACACATGTAGACTAAAATAAAGGTATAATATACCTATATAGAAATATATAGTAATAGAAACTAATGTGTAGACCCGGAAAATATATTTGTTACATTATTTATTGTTTAACCGTTTTCAATTAAGAGATTTGCACGTTCAAAAATAACAATAATAGATATAAAAAAGGTACCGGTATAGCATTATAGGAACACATAAGCAATAGTGCAAAATGCATTTATTGAATAGAAGGGGCACACGCCACAAAAAGGAAAATAATACACTGGTATGTGATGACGTCACGCAGCTGAACTCTGCGGATGATGTCATCGTCTAGCTGATATACAACGGTACGGCCGACCTCGAATTAAACACATATTCCCCCATTTTGTCATTTAGTTCTAAACATTATATAGGTACACATATACATTGTATTGACCACATGACTAATACAAGCTATATAGATTTCCTGGATTGTATTAACTGTAATACCTATATAAATATAATAATATACAATTTAAAAACATGAAACATAAATACATAATATAATCAAAAATAATTACAATAATGAAAAAAAAAATTATATACACAACTGTTGAATCATCGGTGACGTAAAAAAGTAGATGGATGATTCCAATTATTAATTTTGTTTCAAATTTATTAAATCTGCTAAGATTTTAATAATTTTTTAAATGTTATTGAAACGCATGAAGTTGCAATTTATCTATACCTACCTATACTTTCAAACATCCATATCGAGGTGTAAATGACATTTCTATAAGTTATGCATTTATAATAAAATATCGATTATCATATTAAAACTTGGCGATTGTATCACTATAAAAAAATAAAGATGTATATGCGTATTATTGTTTACGTTTACAGTAATTACGAAATCAGCACCCTAGTGCGCATTTCATAAACACAAGGTCTATGCAGCCATGAACATTTTAATTTATAATAATAGATATATTATACTATATAGTAACTATAGTATTATTGGCTAATGCCTATTGCATTAACATACAAGAAATTATGATGAAATTAAAAATCAACTTAACAGAAATTCAAACTAATGATATCCATAAACTGAATGTATTAATTTTGAATTTTAAATCATACAATTGTTGGATATATAAACCAATAATAAGAACACAGAACAATGAAAGATTTAAACTAAATTAAAACACATTTTTATTTAATTTCTACCAATGTTAATCATACTATTAATTATTTTTCTTAAATTAAATCTTTTAAAATAGTAATTTCTATAAAATAAATGTCTGCGGTGTACTGCGGTGTTCATTTTATCAACAATTAAAATGTGCCGCGAGCCTTAACCATTGTTTTTACGTACTATGATTTTGTTTATTTTATTTATAAGATATATAAAGCTATTGTTTAATATCTAGTTATATAACATAGTTATATTATACACATTGTCTGGTGTTTAAATATGTAGGTATATAATACATTAAGAAATGTATAAATGGCACATATTTAGGAACATTTTAAGAGAAGAATACCTAATTACTATTTACTACAATATATTATATTAGTACTTACATAAAATATAAAAAATGCTACACAAATAAATAACTAATGTAAAATTTAAATGCTATAATAGCAAATTAACAAAATGCATGCTCTATTATTGGGTCACCGTTTATGTTAAAGCGTAGAAGGAAAATCCCAAATTTGTGTTACCTAAACATTTGTATAAAAAAAATTGAATACAACTACTAACCAGAATTTTTTTTTTATCAACACATTAATTTCATTTCTAAGCTAAGTCAAAAAAATCACGTACTGAAAAAGGTACTTCTAAATTCTAATAATATTATCTTGATGGATCAGAGGATCAGAGAACACCATTTTGTGCTGTCTATCTTATAAGTTCGTACCATAGCAAATATAAACATTAAGCAGTTAATGTTTTGCTTCGTTAGTTTTAATAATTGTGTGATTATATTGATTTTAAGTTTTATAATAATAAAAGTGACTCCACATCTTGTTTTGCAAATTCGAATTTTTACGATGTGTATTTTAATTTTTAAGCGAGTTATATCATTTTAAAGTTTTTTGTACATTGGTACACATAACTTACTGAAAAGAAGAAATATCGTCAAAAATCCGAGATATTTATTCAAAAAATGTCACCACAATGAGGTTTGCTAATAGGTCAAATCACTCTTATATTAAAACTAACGAAGCTAAGAAGCTAAACTAACTAATGTTACGCAGACGTAATGCGGGTGTGGCGTCTTCTTAATGAGTCACAATTCACAATATAGATAAGCCATAAAATACCCCCCGAGGTATAGACATATAATTTAAAAAAAAAAAAAAAGAGGCAGTTAAAAACACTTAAGGAATGTCGTAAAATAACCGATAACGTATGTACTTTGGATATTTAAATAGTATTTTCATTTGGTGTTTGGCTTTAGCGTAAAAAAACTAAAAAATTAAGTTTTATGAATATCAACGTTAGGTGGTAAGGTTTTTTATCGTAGTATAATGACAAAATAAAATAACAGTAAGTCATGGACTGGTGAACTTTCTCGGTAATAACCCACTGTCAAGCGATGATTCATATATTAATAATTAATTTGAAGGCGATACTAATTGATTTTTTGCAAATTGTTTCAATAATCACGAATTAGAAATGTTTGCCAAACACGAATTTCTCCAAAGATGACAAACAATAATATTCAAAAAAATGGTGAGTGTTTAGAAAAAAACAGTTCGATGATATCATCAACATTTCCATACAATAATAAATAATAATCGTTGTTGATACGTTACGTTATGGTTGTAACTTATTAGTATTTTCAAGACGTTCTTATCAAGTGCACCGTGCACGCAGTAATATATAAATACGTGTTCTACCTGTACGTGCTGCATTTACGTATATCTTATATATTATAGGTATGAATAAATTCAGGTGTTATCGACCCAAAAGACGTCCAAGGACATGAGTAATATGTAGTCTAAATTGTAGGTGTACTGCCATATTATATGTAGGAAGTTGACCGTTACATCGCAATCTACACTGTAGACTCTACAGCATAATTTAATTTATATATAAATACAATAGGTATTAATATTATTCAGTTTACACGCCGCTATGATAATGACCTTACCTATGAGCAACACGTTTATTGAGCTATTGATTTTTATTTTGTGAATCAAAAAAAATCAAATTTTTAACACAAAAGTACTTATAGAGCTGTAAGGATGTGAAGTATTAATAATTATAAAATAGAATAATTTCTAGATGTACATTCAAAATTCAAATATAGCCAATGGGCAATAGCCGGTTCGATCGATCCGTGTAAAACTAATTCAGAGCTTAAATTAACGTCACAATATATACGAGACAACAGTAAGTCTATATTATGCCGTGTCCTGAATACGGGTTATAAGCACTCCCGTTGCCTAGTCGTCAGACAGATGTTTATACAACAGATTGTTGTGCACGAAGCACTCGTCACGATACAAACATCACCTCTTTCACCATATGGTCGGAGAACTCAGAATTAAAAACAAAGACGTATTTGAACGCTCCGTACTGTGTAAACAACTTCACAAGGAAGTCAAAATCGAGATCTTTAATATAAGCTGAAAACGTATTGCGATTGATCCCCGGATATAAAATAATTCAAACAAGAACAACCATCACTAAAAAGACTTAAACGTCGGTAGTCAGTACTGCAATGTTACAATATGCTAATTTATATTAACCAATAATGAAAAAATGTAAACTACGATTTTAATAGTAAAATATTTAATATTTTTGTTTATCATGACGATGACCCATTATAATTTTTCGATTGATAAATATCTACAATTAATATTTTAATATAATTTAATATTATGTAGGTGAGTTACTTAAAAGTTAAAACATTAACCTTATGACATTGAGTAGGTACTATATAACTACGAAAGTAACTTTTATATAGAAATAATTTTCAGTGAATAAGCATTTAGCACAAAATATAAGAAATATTGTGAAGCTACACACAGTCGTTTCAAATATATTGTCAAGTGGCTAATTAGTGTTGCGAAAGAATTTTTTTCCAATCAGGCAAAAATTCGACATTATTATACATAATATTAAATGGTATATGAGGATAAATATTTCACATTCCAATGTTATGAAGTTTAAACATTTTTGTTGAAACCATAGATGAACTCATTAATATATAACCTATTGTATTGTAGGTAACGTACCTTATATAATAATTAATAATTATGATTATAGATTAAGGCTTGATCAAATCGTTTGATCCCCTCCTTAATAGTATTTTCTTATTTTAATGATGGATTTTTGTCCATACATAACTATTTTGATTTTCGTTTTAAAGTCTGTCTTTAAAAGGAAGCGCCCGATTATGAAAGTTTAAAGTTTTGGCTGTATAGGTGATTCGTAAAATACAAATAGACTCAGGGTACGATTAATAATATGTACCCGACTGGCATACCAAATGTATGGTTTTTTTTAAATTAAATCTATGATAAATGCATTAATGTGACACAAGTTTCGGTTTTACCTGTTTGGTAATTCCGACAACGGACGTACTACGGATGTGGTCACAACGACTACGGCGACAAAACTGACGTTGGAGGTGTGTCTTCTTGGACGGTGGCAGGACAAAAGTGGACCGTGTGACTGCGAGAGTTCGACTGACTGGTGACTACTGAGTGTCCGCCGTCTGAGTGCTCACCACTATGCTTATTGCTGTGCCGTCTGGCGTTTGGGCGGGACCGGTGTCTGGGCGGGTGTACACCGCCACCGGTCGTGACGCTGTGGGAGATAAAAAAAAATTGCAATCGCCGGTCAGTGCGAACATATGAGGTAGCGTGAAATATCCCGCGGGGATGTCACCGCGAGATTATCGCACAAAGCGTTGAACATTTTGTGATCGTAAACTTACAACGACGATTTCATTACTATTTAATATTTATTAACTCCATTAAAATGTCTACCTAATAAATAATAATAATAAATAATGGTAATTTAAAATAAAATATGCATACTTCTAATAATATACTAGTTAATAGTTATCTATTTTAAGTACTAAAGCACAATACTAATATTATATAAATGTATATAAATGTAAAGCAAATCATTAAACAAATACAATAATACAAATATAAATAAATATTACAGAATGTCTCAAATATAGGTATCATATTTATAATCTATACGACTGTAAAGTCTACATTCAATAGGTATGTACTATGTATATATAATATATATTATGTATATTAGGTACCTACTGGCTACTATAATACCTGTATTCTATATTTCTATAAGTCTATATAATAAAAATGAAAAGCTGTTCGTGTGTAACCGCATCAATCCAGAACGGCTGGACCACTTTGGAATATTTTTTTTTAATGTTGATAATTTTCCAAATTATGTTTTAAGGAAGTAAAAATTATAAAAGTTGCTAGAAAAATTGTGAAATTCAAGAAAACGTGATAGCCCTTTTTTCAATTGGAATTTTGTACCTATATATAAATTATTGCCACGTGTTACATATTAGATTATACTATGAATAATTAGGGAACAATAATTTTAACTTGTAATATTTTGATATTTGGTACTATATTTTTAACAAGCGTTGGTTATCCGAAGTAAGCTACATTGACTAAATAACTATATACTGGACGGTTTTCAATCAAAAGTTATACATATATAGATTCCTTAATACTTTGATTGATATTATTTTGATTTTAAAATATAAAATATAAAATGTCTATATAGCGAACAATGTACTTAATGTCTCATTTAGCGTAAGACACTCTTTATTTCAAATTTTTTTTTTCATAACTTTAAGTGGTTAAATATACTACATTTTTACTATTTGCTATCGTTAATATTTTTAAATTCCTTTTTCCAAAACAAAATATTTTTTTAAGTAGGTACTTAGATACATACAAATCGAATTTCGGACGAGTAGTTTATGATATATAAGTAGGTACTTAAGTTTTGGTAAGCGGAGTGGAGTGGAGTGGTATTAAGGATGGCTCGATAAAATGTTGGTCCACTCATCAAAAACTGTAAATACTCATAACTTATAAGTTATAACTAATAAGCCACTTGTTCGAAGTTTGATTTTATAGATCTAAATACTCCAAATACTATTATGCTTGGGATAAAAAAAAAAAGAGTAAAAAATATAAAGGGATATAAATGTACAATACAGACGTATATGATGCGTTTAAGTGATAAACCGTAAGTCGGTATATAATATAGCATATTAGACTCTGTATGTCTTAGCCTTCTTAATTTCCTCTACAAGCGTCGTCGTTATACCAATTGGCAATTATTTATTATAGCCAAACTACCTCATACCGAATAAAAAACCCACTGCTTCTTCTTTCAACTCCCCCCCTGTCCAGACCAATTATTATCTTATTCCTCCGTTGAGTTGTTTTTGACTCCAATATCATATTAATATGGTATGTATCTAAATTATTTTCAAATTAAAAAAAAAAAGCGCTGAGAGACAGCCTGTGCTTATCTATCCACATAACACAAACTAGTACAACATTAATGTAAAAACAATATATTCCATACGACCATACTCTCATAATTTATTATTATTAAATTATTTCTTTCTCATTACTTTAAATAATTGTTATCAACGTCATAACTGATTTGAATACGATATTTCTACCTGTACTTTTAATTGGTCTTAGATTTTATATTTATAATCGGTTGTTGTGTAGTATGAGTATACGGTCTACCAGCCATTGTCATCTACTATATAGGATAATATATTGTGGTTTTCCTGCAGCCGGCCGGTTTTTACACGGTAGCACGGGCTTATGATTATCTTTGATAGATACGGCTTAATCTTTTTTCTTTGGTCAACCTTAACACTTTATCTTTATGACCTTATACCATTATTCTGTGCTTATAGTTTTAACTTTCGATAACAATGGTTCGGAATTTTGTAAAAGTATGGACTCAGCCGCAGCCACTCTGGTCTCAGACACTCATACGAAGTCACTTATTGCGCGACACTACAATTTATTCTACACATTATTTATCTCACATTTTAATATTTAATACTATATTACTATACCATTTATTTTGTCCATAATTTAATCTTTTCCACTAGCATGGTTGGATTAGAGTATAATAAAATAATAATGTCTATAGTGCATTTAGAATTTATATTTTAATCATAAATTCATAAACTGAACAAAAGTATACGTTTTAAAATAATTATAATTGATAAATTCCAGAATTTCACGCGTAGGTACAACTAATAATATCCACCTAATAATGAAAATGTATTAACTATAATATTTTTCTATGTAATTATTGATGTTTTGTTTAAAATTATTTAATATTATTACATGTATTCAAGGATGATTTATATTACGAGTATATTATTATGACATAATGGAGACCTTAATTAATAATTACAACGCGTTGTAAAGTATACAATTGTCATTCAAATTAACTGTGAATTGTGATGTATTGAATAGTATACATAAAGTGAAAAAAAAGTACAAAGTATAATAATGTACATTTGTCTCCAGCTGCAGATTCTAAATAATATAAAGTTGATAAATGTAGGAAAGGTACCTGGTACCTACATCGGGCTACATAATATACCTACGATTACTCATATTTATAAATATAACTATACAAGTGTGCGTGCGGAGTACCTATGGTCAGGGTAGGCGGTTGACCATACATCATGAAAAATTGTGTTGGTTTTGATTTTGACCTCTTGGTTTTGATCGACTTTGTTCTCTATCATATTCTATACTCTCCATCACACATGTCATCCTGAACAGCTAAGACTTCGACTTTTTAAAAAACCTACTACATCAGGTTCATTGAATGTTTCCTTCAGTTGCTGTGCATTAGTCCTTTGTCCTTAACTATTCTATAATGTTATAAATTCTAATCATAGGTACATAGACAAATAAAAAGTTAAAAGCGATAGCACAAAAAAGAGCCAAAACATTTGGTATCAGACTTTTATGGGCAAGTACTAAGTATAGCCTTTATACTTTATAGGTACCTAGATTCCTACCTATACTGTAGGTTCACGGAAACACCTAACCTAACGACTAACACTATAACTCAGTACATATACATATATTTTTGAATTTTGTTTGCGGGGCAACTATAAACTATATCGAATCATAAATTCCTTCGGCTTATACTTTTTTAACTCAATATTTATACCTATATATAGTGTTAGGAGTATTTACCCATAAGCAACACGACTTAACTTTTTTGTTATGTGAGCTCCTATTTTAAATTTTGTTTTTAAATTGATCTATTAAAGTGTATTCCAAATCTAAAATTGGCCAAATGAGAGCAATTTCAAATTAAAATAAAAAAAAGTTTCGTTCATTTATTTAAAATATTAGTAACTGTCACTTATGGGATGTTTCTTGTTCATATTTTCTTTGTATTTTCATTCTGTCGTCAAACTTATTATGCTAAATAGTGCAGATTGACGATTGTGTACCTATATTTAAAAAAAAAAATTGTAAGTACCTATTTTTTCTTTTTTTTTCTAAACATAAACATCATGATACAATCAGAATTATTACTATAAAAGTAATAATTTATTTTATATTTATTAATTATTACCATTTTGTTTTATTATTAGGTACCTTCATATTACTATAAAATTACAGAATTAAAAACATGCATTTTTTGGTATCAAAAAATAAAATTCTAAATTCATAAATATTTTTTAGCAACACGTTTGACTTCGTTTATTAAAAAATTAATTATGTTTTAACAATTAGATTGATAGATATTACAAAAACGAATTATTTGATAAATTGTTCAAAAGTTCCAGTACATAATCCACTGAACTCTATACAGTATAGAGTTCAGTGACATAATCATAGACGGTTCGGCCTTTGAGTACAGTGCATTCCTCAAATCGACGTACCTAAATTGTTATTTCCCGCAGTAACAGTGAACACTGAACAGTGGGAATTTGACAATAGTTGATTATCACTAGACCGTTTGCACTGTAATAATCTCATACATATGTTTTTGAAATACTGATAACGAAAATTAATATGAGTTTAGTTTGAGCAGTTTGACCTTCCCTTAAGATCCTATTAATTTTTGGTCTTGTTGAAGTTGTAGTTTGAGAAAGACATTTAAACTATAAATTACAAAATGGCATCCACAAAATTCACAACAGTTGTAAGTATATATTATTGTTTTTGTCAGTTCATATTTATTGTTGTTGATGTTACAGGTGAGGTCGTTAAGCTCATCCTCAAGCTCAACCCAAGGAATGGTCAAAGTGAGTTATTTTTTACATGATTTTCATACATCTGTGTACTGAACATTTTATTTTTATTATAAACAGCCCCCAATTAAAGTATTTGGTATTGAAGGGCGTTATGCCACTGCTTTGTTTTCTGCCGGAACCAAACAAAATAAATTGGAAGCGATCGAGAAAGATTTAATCAAATTTCAGGTATTAGTTGTTTTTATCTTATTGATACAATTACATATTCTACACACTGTGCTAACATTTATTTTACAGACTGCATTAAAATCAGATAGTGTCCTTAAGGAATTTGTCGATAACCCGATTAACAAAAGGTCATTAAAGTCTAGTACTTTACAATTGGCTGCAAAGAAACTGGCCCTTTCACCTCCGTCATCCAATTTTTTGAGTATGTTCAATTTATATATTTTGGTGTAGGTCCAATATGTAATTCATTAATGTACGATGATATAATTCACACAAATCTAGTGTAACAATTCTATATAAATATTTCTTAGCTCTATTTCTTGATTATGTTGTCAAATGTATTGCTATTTCAATCTATTAGACCTTCACTATTATTCATTTAGTTCTCAATCTAATAGTACTCAGAATCAATTTGTTTGTGTGCTAAATTTGCTAAATTCTTTTAGCCTTCTGATCAATTTAGTTTATTTTTCTTCAACTATTAAGTTTTATTTGGTAGTAAAATAACATTCATAAACATTAATTAGAAAAAATATATTTTATTATAAAATGTATTAAATAAAAAATATAGTTGTTACATTTAACTACTTGTTATAATTAGAGGTTATACATCCTATATTTAAAGTATATTTTAGATTTAACACTTATATATTATGTAATATATAATTTGCATATTTGCAAATACTTGAATATGAAAAATATTTTACTTATAGGCATGTTAGCTGAAAATGGAAGATTACAAAAACTAAATGCAATCATCAACAGTTTCAAAATTATCATGGCTGCACACCGAGGAGACTTGGCGTGTGTTGTAACAACTGCTAAGGTACATACCAAATATGTTTGCTTATTAATTTATATATGTTGATTAAGTTTATATTTATTTCGTTTATTTTCAAATAAACTAAGTTATGTATAATAGTATTTAATACAAATTTTTTTAGTAACTTAGTCATTTTAAATCTACATACTAAAAAAAATATACTTAGTTGCACTTTTACTTAACTTTAAGGTCTATGACCTAACAGCTATTATTTATGATTTTGGTTATTGCAATCACGTTTATAAAGTCTGGAAGTTTGATTAAGAAGCCAAGTAAAGATAATATACACTTCCAATAAATTAAGTCAACTTATTGGAAGTGGATATTATAAATTAGTAAATAACACACAAATATATTAATATCTATACAATTTACCTAGTTATATCTAAATTTTTATTTAAATTTTGTTATTTAATAAACATAAGTGTCTGTATATGTCTTCTTTTTCTAAAAAAATAATCATGTTTTAACAATATCGGGGTCATCTTGCAAATAAAATAAGCATTTTAAAATTTTAAAATATTGTATATTCATTAATTTCAACTTACTCTAACTTTTTCAATATTGTGATTACTAAACATTCTGTTTTCAAAAATTGATCTTGCTATTTAATAAAAAATATTGAATTTTTCACTACTATTAATAGCCCCATTTCAACTCAAATCATCTAGCTAAAATATTTAGTGGTGCCCTTAAGTGTAAACACAATTTTAATAGATGTGTGCAGCAAATGCTTAATTTCAGTTCACAATGTGGATGTGCACATTGTGAAATAAATTACAAAATATAATGTAGGAGTGACCATTTCATGAAAAAGTTACTATTGTTACCAAGTTACCGATGCGGAAATAACCTGTATCTATTTCATAAATTTGCTATAACATGTAACATATGTATACATATCATAATGTTATATGCAATATGTATTAAACTATAGTATGTTTTATACTAATACAATATAGTCAGCTACATAATAATATTATATATGTATTTTGATTTTTAGCCTTTGGATTCAGCTGATCAACAGGAACTTAAAAAAACATTGCAAGCATTTTCCAAAAAAGGAGAGACAATCAAGTTAGAATTAAAAGTTGACCCAACACTTATTGGTGGAATGATTGTCAGCATTGGCGACAAATATGTTGATATGAGTGTTGCTACAAAAATTAAGAAGTACACCGAAATCATCCAGGATGCTGTTTAAATTTAAATACAATGCTTAGTCATAGTAAAAAATGGAATATTTTAGTGTGTACTAATTATTATAAATCATCTATGTAAATTTATAATGTTTTCTTTTTTTTAATTCTACCATTAAAAATTCTAGATTATTTACAAAAAAAAAATGGATGGTATGTTTGTCTTTTATGTTTATTGGGGCAAAGTGTAAATAAGGTAATTATATTCAGTATCTTCCAACTAAGACTTCTCCAGCCTTCTCTGGGCTTTTTAATGGTGGATTATAACCTATAAATGACTTAGTATTATAGGATTTTTTAAAATTCTATCTGCTATTTTGAGTATTCCTTTTAATGTGCAATTTAAAATTGTTCCATCTTTCATGATATGAACAATATGTAGAGGTCCATACATTTTTGATATTTTAAACTGCTATTGCATTCTTTATTATTTATTTTTTCCTGAAATACTTGGTTAGCAGATTTAAATTGTACATACATAGGTAATGACTAATGGTTATGACTAAATGGACTATTGGTTTTGATAATGATATTAATTCATTATGAAATTCTTAAAATCATATTGGAAAAACTATATTCTATAATTTTTTGAGGACATTAGTTTGTATTTTTACTATGATTTTGCAGTTTTATATTTTAAAAACTATTGGAAAATTTAAATAATCTAGTTCAAAAAATTAAAACTACTAAATGAGCTAATCATTTCTAAAAACTGGAATAAAAAAAATTGAATGTTTATCGAGTAAACAAAAATGGAAAGTCATTTTTTGTTACTTATTTTTTTTTTTTTTTAAATGCATAATGATTGACAATATCGATTAGTATTAGTAGTTAATTTTTCTACTTGTAGGTTGAATTGATTTTTGCTGAAAACAAATCAAAATATATCAAAGGAAATGAATACGGTGATTTTCTTTCTTAATCTAATACATGTGGAACATTAAAAATTTAGACGTGCTTTCCTCAATCCGCCCAATTCAAGCCTTTCGGTTCATCAATCTTTGGCTAATAGCCATGGCCTCTTGGCACCTAACAAATAATACCTTACACAAAGATTTAAATATTACAACAGATGACCAACTTATAAACTAACCAAAATATATTAATCTTCACTCCAAACTACAACACCCTTAAGTTTCCCATCTATCATCATATACTCTTCTTGACAACCCACCACACCGCCTCAAGATGTGTTGGTGGTTGGTGCTGTGACCTATTAAAATAATTGATTTAACAAATTAAGTATCAGGGGTTTCATCACTGGATGACTTGGATTCCCTTAACTTGAGCTTCATGTGTTGTTTTATATAATTATGCTCATGTATATGCTTATACCAGTCATATTTTTTACCTATTGTAAATTTTTCAAATAAAAAAAAAGATTTTAAAGAATTTAAAAAAACAGATATAACTTTTCTTCAAGTATACTTGCGATTGACTTTCCCAAATCGTTGATTTTAATTCTACAAAAATATAAACACCATTTCTTTTTTTTTTTATGAATTTTTAAAGGATTTAGGGTGACAAAATCAAAAAGGTTCAGATTTTGAATAACTGCAGTAACTTTATCTTTCAAATTTAAATAAGAAACTGTAAGTCGTAAGACAGTATAATATACCTACATTCTTTCTTACTTAACTCTTTTTAAGTTATAACACCAAATTTTTTAAATCTTCAAATAATTTTTAGGATTCCGATGAAAGTAAAAATGTTATTTAAACCTGCCTGTGCCCCAGAAAAATTTGGCCATGACCGTTTGAAAGTGGCTTTTGGATATGGTGATTAACATTAAATTTCCCAGTCTCTCTGCCCATCTTGATTTGTGAGTTCCAACGTTATTTTTCCCTTTGGAAGTTAGCAAATTTCATGTTGTTCAAACTTGTTTAAAGCTGCGATTTTCCTGCAGCGTCTAGAGGTAACTGTCGGTCCGGACAAGTATAATACATGGTCTAATAGGCTGTGCTGTTCCACTGTTTGACTATGCATGATTTCCATTTAATTTTCCATACGATCCTCATAAAATATTATGCTTTTCATTAATTATCAATGTAAATTAAATAAATATATATATATGAAATGAAAAAATTTTTAATTTCGAACCCACACTTATCTCTACGATTATTTTTTGTTAAATTATGAGGCAGAAATTTCCTTTCAAGGTCTTCAATGCTTAATCGAACTTTTAACATTAAAACGACTTCATCGCATAATTTCTGAAATAATTATCTAATAATCACCGATATTATTAGTTTGGCCATTTTATAACGATCTAATTACGATAAAATATATCGTATAATACAATTTCATAATTATTAGTACGTATTTTATTTCATACTCAATTACTAAGTAAAAATTGAAAATAAATAATTAACATCGACTTTTTAATTCGAATCGGCTGTAATACGATTGCGCCAGTCCAACTTTTTTACATAAAGGTACGGTTTCCCTGCAACGTCAGACGCGAGAACAGCATGGCTGCGTCGGACGCGGCGTCTAGACGCAACCTACGTCCAGACCGGTAGTGACGCTTGACGCTGCGTCTAGACGCTGCAGGGAAACCGTACCTTAACACATGCAAACAACGCAACAGGATTGCGCTCCGTGAAATATAGGTCTTGTCCGTCTAACAATTTTCCAATACAATTTTTCATTTTAATTTGAAAAAAGCGCAGAGAATGCTATAAAGAAAATTATGGCCTGTAGATTCCATTTATGCCAAAGTTGACTTAGAAAAATCTAAAGCAAAAACAAATTATTAAAATAATACATTTCAAAGTCAGAAGTAGGTATTTGGTTAAAGTGCTTTTTCGCTCTTGGTTTTTTTACCCGAAAATGTAGTCGGCGGTGCTTTTTCGTGTTTAATTGCAAACGCTCCTACCAAAGTCTTTGATTTTACGAATTATATTTTTGATAATTATGTATGCCATAATGCGAGTTTTCCACCAATTTTATGGACTGGTGTCTAGTAAACCTTCAGAGAGACTTTGAACGACCAATGATAGGCCAGAATCATTCCACTGACATAATAACTCACAGTCTTACACTTCACATCTTTCTATTCACGGAGTTATTAATATAACGTTAGACATCCAAAGTGAAACTTATCTAAAAATTAAAAACATTAAAGAAAATCGAATACCCAAACCTTGAAAAGAACAAGAAAACAAATTGAAATTTATAATGCAAACTTGGACAAAATTAAAACAAAATTAAATCTATGCTAGAATGTTTGAAAGTTATACGACCACAAAATTGAAATTCGTAATCGTATCACTTTTTATTCAAATTGTGTGTTATAGAAATTTGATCAAAAAGTGTTTCATCAAAAAATATTCTTGGCCGAAAAGGGAAAATAGTTTTAAAATATTTGGGCAAAAAGCGAAAGGAGTCCCGCCCGATCAAGCCAATTGGCTCTAAATTACTACCTACTCTTTGAGTTAAATGATCAACTTTTTTCTTCATACTGATTTATGACTATAATGAATTGTGGGAATAACATGATTTTGAATAAATTGTGACTATAATTATAACTTATAAGAGGACACTACGCTACGGACATTTTTTTCTCCGTCTTACAAGTGCGTAACTTAGCAAATTTTACTTCACGAGTTATGAGTAAGTAATTTAAAATTGTAAACTTTTTGTAAATTTTACAATACCTACTCATAACTCGCTTTAAAATAAAAGTATAATAAGAAGCCAATGAGATGCCCAAGATATCTTGACTTTAAATTTCATATAAGAGATAAATTCACTCCAATTTTTAAACTAACGGAACTAAACGTGATCTGATGAACTTAAAATTGACTATGTTACGCACTTGTAAGACGGAGACAAATTACCGTGTAGCGCATCATGAAAATGTTTTTAATGTAAAAATTCAATGGAAATAGCATATTTTATAAGGCAATAGTTCATCATAGGTAACGTAGTACGTACCATTTCCAAAAAATAGTACATTTTGGCATAGTTTAATGAATGTAGGTTCAAGGTTGCCAATTACCTAACCTAGAATTTAAATTTTTTAACTTAATAAACTATATTTTTCTGAAAAAATAAGTGCTTTATATATTATATTATTATTGTTTTTTTATAATGGGACTGTAAAATTGTGAGTTGTGACATTAGTGTACCATTAACTATGAAAAAAATAAAACTTTAGGTATGTGCAATAATATTTGGTTAAACCATTTTATCAAAAATTTTAGTTTGAATTCTGTTTTTCTTATAATTTATTTGAACAGTATTTCATTTGAATAAAATAATATAAAATATAATTTACAAGTAGGCATTTAAAATAAAAATAATATTGTATTCTTTTGTTACAGATATTAGTTAGTTTTTGCTTTTAAAAAATGCATACACTGATAAACTATTTTTATTTTAATAAATTATTAGAAATATAAAACCAACAGCATGATGTCAATAAATTAACAAAAAATAAAGCATTACCTTTTAAGCAATTTTATGATCAATGTAGAGTGTAGACTAAATGTTGGTGGAAGTGATGTGCACAAAATGCTCCATGGGGGGAGGGAGGGAGGCATATTCTTTATATATTTTTCTCAATATTCAAATTGCTAACAAAATATATCTTGCCATATTCCTGTAGGCTTATGTAGTAGCTTATTCTTAATTGTGCTGCAGGAAGAGCATTTTCTAAGCTATTAAAAAAAAAAAAACAAAAAAATTTAAAAAAAATTAAATTGTATCAAAAACAAGAGGATCTATTACAAGATAATCTGACAACCATAATGATTTATTTACAGAAAATGACATCCTAGAGAATTTCAACTTCATACACACATTAAAAGAATTTGCTTCCACGAAAGCAAAGAAAAATACATTTATATAAATTAATATAATAGTATTAAAATTATAATAAACAGTATTACATATTTGTATTATTTTATTATTTGACACTCTAATATGTATTTAATCAATAGTTATATTATTTCCTAACAGTAAATAATTATAAATGTATTATATGTAACAGTGGCATAGGCAGAAATGTTGTAGGGGGGAAGCTATAATTATTGAGGTTGTTGAAAGCGAACCATTTTTAAGGGGTCAGATTAAGGCAATGTCCTATAACCAGCATTGTGAGTGATGATCATTAAAGTGTGCGTAATGAATGTTTCAGGTAATTAATGATAAACTATGGCTAGGATTCTTGAAAATCATCCTTAATATAGATCTCTTTCTATATATTAAATTGACAAGTTAGAAAATGTTTTTGCCCAGTTGGTTCATAGATGTACTTCAGGATTAAGTACTTATTCAGTCTTCTTAAGCTAGAAAATGTTCCAACAATTTTAAGCAAATCGACCAATATTGGATACTCATATTGCACATTTTGTTAGTAAATAATAAGAAATATCTTTGCTTTCTAACATTGAAGCAGAGTACCTAACTATATTATTAATCCAATTACTGTAATAGTATAAACAAATGGCTTATAAATTAAAATTAATTTAAATATTTTGAATAATACATTGTTTATTGAAAACAAGGTTAGGCATAGGCCTACTCAAACAAAATAAAATGGTAGAGTAAGGGTACGACAAATGGCTTAATTATAGGTTGTCCCTTTAATGTGATAAAATTATGTAGTTGGGTACTATTGCAATAACCTAGTATATTTAAGCCATGATATATTGTGTCAAAAAGTTTTAAGTACCTAATTACAAATAATATTTTTTAAATTAAAATGAAATAAAAAAAAATTTTATTTTTTGCTTCAATATCTAACATTGGCAAAATATCAACTTACGTCAATAAAAAAAATTGCGAGTATATATTTTTGAGACTTAGGTTTCTGAAAGAAAATATAGGAGGGACCATGTATACAATTTTAAAAACCTAGAGGTTGATTTTTTATGTTTACCCCAATTACTTCAGAGAGAATTAGGGATTTCCACTTTTGGCCTCTCAAATTTTAACTATTATTTGTTGCTAGAAACAACCCTCAAAGTTGAAGATAAAGCTTTTTTTCCTATTATAAAATGAATACACAAAAAATAAAAACATTTTGAAACTGTATAAAACTAAAAATGTATTTATTTACTGAATATCTCTTAAAATTAGCTGAATTATTTGTATAGAGTTAATAATAATAAAAATAATGTTGTCTTAAAAATCTATTGTAAATAAAATGAGGATATTAAAATGTGTTCTCTTTAATAACTAACCTTAAATAGTTAAATGATAGAAAAAAACAGTATCAATTAAATCAAATGTTGTACATAAATTTGTAAAATATAATCAGTACAAAAATATAATCAAATCTAGTCTAAACTTAACATTAACATAAAATATGTATATCATAAAGTATTAAACTTATAATAAGTATAAAGAGTAGCTTTATAAAATAACCTTATAATAAACATGTAATTGTACTATTAAAAATAATAACCTTGACAGTTTTTCATATCACATTGACATTTAGTGCCATTTTTCTTCAAAGTATTTTCTTCACTAATCCGAGAAAAATAATCAGTTGTAAGTTGTTCGCCAGCTAAAATGTCTCTACTAGCAAATAAGGCTAGCTCTGGAAGATTTCTATCAAGGCAATTAATCCATACAGCATAAACGTTTAAGTTGGCATCACATGAGTGATTTATAAAATATGTGAAATTGGCATAATGTGTACCATCAATGATATATTTATAATTCAGTGGATCATTAAAATCTAAGTTCCACATATTATCCAATGAAGACGTTCTTTTACTTAAACGTTGTTCAGATTCTTTAACTGTGATAATTTCACCAATATATTTACCTACAAATTGACCTTTCTGAATGTTTTGGGCAGATTTAACGCCCCAGCCATATTTTCTTGTCTTATAAATACAAATATTCACATTGCTACCAAGTTGAACCACCCTATTTGTGCAAGACTTTGTGCATCTACATTTTTTATTGCATTCAAATATTGGACTACCAGGAACTACCACTAAATTCTTATTTTTATCATATGCTTTTAAACAACCCGACATTTCATAACAACATTCTTCAGGAGATTGACAATTTCTTCTACAAGAACATCCAATAGGAGGATCATCTGGTATAATAATGTTTTTTTGGGGAACATAATTCGAAACATATACAAATAAATCTGGTGGTCCTTCAAGGTCCATGTTATTTTCTACTTTTATTTGGTAACCTTGAGTCACTACATTAATGTCAATTTCCCACTGTTTGAGTTTGATTAATTGTTGTTGTCTAAAATAACCCAAAGCGATTGTAGTCAAATACGATTGAAAGGTTTTAATTCGTAATGCTTGACTTCGAGTAGGACCGACATCAAGGCAATTAAATAAACCAATTATATGTTCAGGTAAAATTGCTGGCAGAGATAAGCCAGTCTCAGTTCTGAATAAATCAAACAAGTTGGAAATAACTTTTCTGGACATCATAAGTTCTATTCCATTTATATGCTTACAACTATTTACATCTTTATCAGTCTTAAGATTTTTGATATATTTATGTAGGTGTTTTTGTGACTTATACAAAGCACCAAAACGTTCCCATGTATTAAATCCTTTAGACCATTTTTTCCACTTCACTAAGTAGTAACGAGTACCCAAAATTACTTCATGATCAATAATTTCATCTATTTCTGTCGGGTCAAAAGCATAATCAGCATCATCTGGTTCCATCATTTTTGCATTTTTTATAAAATCTTGTATTTTGGAATCAGAAACTATAAAACTGTATGATGGATCACCTATTTCTAAAATAGATGGAATTGTTATACATGCAGTATCTTTAGATCCTGATTGAGATTTACCAGGTGACATATCACAGTTAGAAGTAGAAGGTAATAAATAATTATTAGAATTTCTTTTTACTCTATTGTTAGTTTCAGGAGTTGACATCACCAAATTAGGAACCATAATAGTTGTTGAAGTGGAATTCAAACTATCATTAGATTCTTCCTCGATACAAATAGGAGAATTTATATTCATGTTGACTATGTCTATGTCAACATCAGTTTCCATTCTGCTACTTGAATCGTCATTATTTATTACAAGACTTGAAACTTTTTGAGTATTTTTTTTAATCGAATTGCCTTCTTTTCTTGATTTTTTACCCTTATTACAATCAGCAATAACAACATCTTTAGAAACTATTTTAACAGTATTTGACAAGTAAAGACTTTTTAACATGGAAGATTTTAGATCAATTGGACTCTTTACAATATTTTGTTCAGAACAGCTTACATTTATCCCGGATGAATTTAAATCAGATTTTGAAGTTTTTTCCTTATTTGAACCACTTGGTTTGGTAATATCTGAAGGTGTAACACTACGTCTTGTAATTTCTTGGATGTTGTCATTTTTTATTTCTGTAACAAAATTTATATAAAACTAAATATGATACTGTACCAAACGTCAATAGCTACAACAATAATTTTTTTCGCACTCATAAATTATGAGATAACACAGTCAAGAAATTTAAAAAGTTGGGCAAGTGGGTACTGCTTAGCTATACATTAAGTGTTATATGAGTCACTGTAATGGATGCATTCAATTAGAATTAAATTATATAAAAAAAGATTCTGAGCAGACCATGTGTCAGCTATTACTAGATAGGTAATATTGCATTTGCAATTTATCTATTGTACTAACATTATCAGTGATGTTTTGGTTTCAGTATGAACTAATTAGTTTACATTTTTAAGTTTTTTGATCAAAATATTTATGGAAAATATTATTTATTTAGGAACCGTCAGAGGAAGTATAGGACAATAATAAGCCATAAACAACAGGTTAACAAAATTGGGGCCCCGAACTCTATAGGCGGAAATTTTCTGGCAAGAGATTCCAGTGTCATTAAAAATAACTACTTCCAGTATAAGGTGCAACTCTCTGCGTGATAGAAGGGCACTTTCTTGTCCTAAAGGTAAGAAATTTATCTTAAATGTGGATGAATGAGTTTCTTTTTTTGTTAACAGCATGGAATGCAAAAAGCAAAAGAAAACTATAACATTAAAGAACTAAATAGATATTTAAGTATCAGTAATTAAAAGTATGAACAATTAAACACTAAACAATTCTGGAGGTAAAATAATCCTCCAATCGGATCTCCGACAAGGGACTACTCAAGAAGTTAATCTTTAGATACTTAGAATGTCAGAGCACTTCTGCAGACAGAGAAACTAGAAAACCTAAAAGTTGAGATGAATAGAATTAAAATAGATATTCTGGGAATCTCAGAAATGCGATGGCCTATATCAGTAGATTTTTGGATAGAGGAATATAGAAAAATTTACTCAGGAACAGAAAACAAAAGGTTAGGTACAATTGAAGAATAGTTTTTCTTCTTCTTAAAAAAAAAAATGGGACACAAGGTAAAAGGAATATGTACAGTTAGTGATAGAATATGATAATTCAAGTTTAAATGCCCACCTCAGAGGAAGAGGACGATGAAGTAGCAAAATATATGAAGAACTAAATGATTTGATGAAGACTGTCAAAGGAAAGAGGGAGGGAAAAAAAAGAATATTGTAGACAAGTAAGGACTTAGAATTAGAAATCCAAAAGGAGAGTTCTTATTACGAAATAAACTAGTAGGCCATAACAAACACACTCTTCTAATATCACAAAAGAAGATGATATATATAGGTATATGGCAAGCTTTTGGTGATATAAGAAATGCATGAATAGATTATATACTTGTAAGAGAAAGATACAAAATCAAGTTAAAGACAGTAAAAGTTATCCAGGAGCAGATATTAATAGTGACCATAATCTGTTTTGATGCATTGCGAATTCAAATTTTCTGAACTACAAAAGAAAAAGGATAGTAGATATTTGCAACTAACAAACCTAAAAGTAGAAGAAACAAAAATTGCACACAGAGAAAGAACAATTGTATAATGGATACCTATGATTTACAAAGTATACAATCATAGAAGAAAAATGTAAAATGATGCATATTAAACAATGCAGAGGCAATTTTAGTGAAATCAAAAGAAACTAAAAGGAAAAGAATGGATAAACGAAGAAATCCTGGAAATAATTAATGAAAAGGAGATATACAAATTAAAAATGCTACAAACCAAAAAGGGATGAAAAAATCCAGGAAATTAAAAAATGTAAGAAATAGAGAATGCAAGAAAACCAAGGAAATATTCTTCAATAATATTTGCTAGGATATTAATAAAGCTTTCAAATTGGGACTAATGAATGAGGTGTATGGAATGGTTAAAAGATTTTTTGGGGAAAGAAAAGTTAAAGCTGCAAGTATTAAAGAAGTAAATGATAATATTATATATGAAGAAGCAGAAGTAGCACAATGTAAAGTACTTAGAACAATAGATACAGAGATAGAAGACAATCAAATTAGACCAAAGTACGATGAAAGAAGAATTTGATAGGGCATTAATAGAGTTAAGGAACAAAAAAGCACCAAGAGTTGATGCAATTCATGCGGAACTTATAAAAACCTGTGGAGAAAATACCAAAAAATATGGACTGATCAAAAAAAGCTATGAAACTGGACAAATAGCGAAAGATTTTACAAAGTGAATAATTGTACCAATTCCAAAAGAAAACGGCATAAGCATGTGAACAACAAGTTTAATATCACATGCTTCAAAAATCCTTACCCATATTGTGTTAAAAAGAATTAGAACAGGAAATAGAGGAACTCCTCACTGAGGATCAAATTGGTTTGGTTTAATGATAGGCACTTAAACAAGTTATTGGAAAGTAGAATAGAAAAACAAAATATGTATACATTTATAGCTTTTGTGGATCTAGAAAAAGATTTTGACAATGTGAAATGGAAGACAATATTTAAAATCTTGAAAAGAGTTGAGGTTACATATAAGGATAAATAAGGATAATCAAAAGTTTATACTGACAAGAAACAAGAATAGTACGATGTGGAAATAGCCAAGAAGAAGTAAAAATTTGAAAAGGAGTAAGACAGGGGTATACACTGTCTTTATCTATTTTTAACCTATATGTCCAAGAGATAAATAAAGTAAGAGAAGAAATTAAATTAAGGATAAGAATAAATGGAAAAAGAATAGATATGCTAAGATTTGCAGACAACATTGCGGTAGCTAATAACACACAATAAAGAGGACTTGCAAAATATCTTAGAAATAATGAATGTAACAATAAAAAATGAATACAATACAAAAATTAGGATCCTTATTTGTAGCGGTAACGAAGGAACCCAAACACAAAAACCCTAGATGGCGATACACTAAAGCAAGTGAATGAATACAAATATCTAGGAAGTAAGATAACTATGGACAGCCGTAGTACTAGAGAGATAATAAATAGAATAAACCAGGCTAAATGTGCATTTCAGAGCAAGAAAAAATATGTTTATATCTAGAAATATTGACATAAAAGCGAGGAAACAGAAAAACTTTTAAAGTCTTGTTTGAAGCATAGCATTGTATGGAAGTGAGACATGGACCATAGGTAAGATTGAAAAATAAAGACTCTTAGAGTTTAGGATATGGTGTTACAGCAGGCTGCTTAGAATAAGCTGGACAGAACATTCAACAATTGTTGAAGAAAAAACTTTGAATTAGTCATAAAGACAAAACAGATTACTTTTGAAATTTAATGACATTTCAGCCTTTATATAAAATGTAAAAATAATTTACCTAAATTAACTAGTTATCTAAATTAATTGCTCAACTAGAAAAACTTAACTAGTAGATTTATTTAACATCGCAAAACAATTATAGACAAAATGAACACAAACACAATCAGAGTTTCAAATCTGTAGTGGAAAAGCTTAATAAAATATGGAAAAAAACTAAGGTTTCAATACTTTAATTATAATAAAAAATATTTTAAATGGCACCGAGTAAAACTTCAAAATTGATGAATTCAAAGATTTAATGCTAGTGTAATGGTTGATCACAAATCACCAATTTTAGTCAGTTGACATAAAACAAAGTTTTTTGAGATATAAGAACTACCCGACAAAAAAAAAGTTCTCAACTATTTGAAAATATCAAACAAATGTTGATGATTAGGTGCAATTCAGATGTATTCATTATTATGGATGGCGGGGAGGTAACAAACTTGAGTGACAAAGCTGTAAAGTTTTAATTCGCCTGGCAGGGTGAACATTTGGTCAACCGGTATTTTAAGTCATCAGTCAATTTTTTTTTATTTTACATTTTTAAAAATTCTGTATAGTAAATAAATTCATATGCTTTACAATATAATTTTTTTAGGTCACATTCAAATAATACAAAAATATAATATATTTGCAAAAGGAATACAAATATTGTCCATAGTAGGTAGTAGGTACCTATATTTTATATTTTTAAAATAAGGGTACTTTTTTGGTATCCCTACTACAACGAGTCTTTATTCTGTTATCTCGACTACCACACAGATGCCGCAACTACAGTTCACTCGATTATCTGTTGCCTACAATTGTTGGATTTATTAATTTAAAAATAGTTATGAATCTGTGGAATTTACCAAACAGTGCAAAATATGGGTCTGAATTTTTTCAAGAGGTTTACTTCCGAGACACCGTGAATGCAAAAACGGCAATAAAAAAAAACTATACATCGGCTAAAGAGAAATTTTTTGGAAATGCAACATCAAGGTGTGTCAGCGTAAAACTAAAATTCGTATGGGTCATTGGTTTGAAAATAGTCGTGTCTTTTTTAACAATACTCTGATTTATATATATTGTTGGAGTGCAGAATTAACCTCGGTTAAATTTTGTGAAAAGCATTTGGATATGAGTCATTGAACGGTTGTCAATTGGAATAATTACATGCGTGAAGTGTGTACAATAACAGTCAAAAGCAACAAATACAAATCGGAGGACCAGGAAAAATTGTTGAAATCGACGAGAGTATGTTTTCAAAAAGAACAATGCTGGAGGGATATTACCACAACAGGGGATATTTGGAGGTATTTGTACCGAAACAAAAGAGACATTTCTAATCCTAGTTCTCAATAGTACAAAGGAAACACTTTCAACTGTAATAAAACAATATATGTAGGTAGGAACAACCATATATTCTGACTGTTGACGTAAATATGATACACACAAACTAACCAGAGCCGGATACACCCATGGTACAGTCAATCACACTCATAACTTAGTTGACCCAGTTACTGGGGTCCATACGCAGCATATTGAATAAGTTTGGGGCTCCACTAAATGGAGAAATAAAAAACATACAGGAAACAGACGCCATCTTTTGGAGTTCTATCTGGCGGAGTTTATTTGGAGACAAAACATTGAAGGAAAACCATTCGATACGTATTGAAAAATATTTTTGAAAATTGGTCACTAAAAATAGAATTTTTGACTAAATACAACTGTGATAATTTATTTTTATTTATATATGTACTATTTAATATCTTGATGATATTTTTAATATTATTATTTTTTTGTGATAATTTTGATGAAGTTATACTAATATACATTATTATATAAATGGCAATTCATGTGTTTTATGTATTAAAATATAGTTATCTGGATAGTACTGAAGTAGTGGAGATAACAGAATTGAGCAGTTGCGGTAGTCATGGCATCGAGTGGTAGTAGGGATAACAGAAAAGTACCAAAATAAGTAATTTATCATGTAAATAATTATGAGATGGTACACACATTTTAATTTAAAAATAAGGAGTGACTGGATCAAAATATCAAAATATAAGTAATAGTGTAAATGTATAAAGTTTACTTATATTATATAAATTTGCATGATGAAAATTAATATAAATTAAATAATTTTAGTGACATTTTGCATTTTTTTTACTAAGAATTGAAATTTAATGTTTTAAAAAATGATCTAAATTTTTGACTGATTTAAAATAATAGAGGACCAAACGTCTTATAACTCTTGGAGGCCAAACGTCCAATCTAAATAATTATCAGGTGCGTTGGTTTATTTGCAGAGACAAAATGTCCGTTTTCCATATTATTTCAAGATTTATTGAATTATAATGTTATATTATAGTTTGTTTAGTGCTGTTAAGTTCAAGCCCTGCACTTAACATTATCGAATATAATATATTTAATGAAATCATGTTAGTTATTTACCTAGGCTGTTGATAGCAGAAAAAGTAATTATTTCTGGTGAACTGCTGTTGCGTGTGGCGACACCCTTTAAAAAAAACAATGAATATTAAAATTTTATTTAATAGTTGGACATAATAAACAGTAAATATTTACCGAAGTACTCGGTTCATGGTCATATTCACTGGAGTTTCTGGACAGATCATCAGACATGATGGTTAATGGCGGATAGATTATCAACAGATCTTAGACAATGATATTGACGTTCCTCGACAGAATGTGAGCACAATGACGACGACGTAAGCACTAAGCAGTAATTCCACTATTTTTAAAAATTCTCTGTAATGAAAAACAATAAAAACAAATAGATACAACGAAAATTCTACTAACTTACTCTGGACTCTGGAGTCTGGGTAGCAGCCTGGCCAACCGGAATCAGACTGCTTGAACAAAGAACGTGGGTATTCCATGTAAGTAGTTAAAATTCAAAATTCGATTTCGTCTCACTTGGACTTAAATCATAAATACGCAATACATCAATAATGCAATACGAATTATGATTTCACAAATGTCGGCAATCGGAATATTGTAGTATAGCACAAGCTGTTGCATGCAAAATGCACCGCACCGCCATTACTTACTTGTTAGTTGTTTATAGTTTATCGAGCTATGGAGGTAAATTTGAGATTAATCATCTCAGAACGGTCGCCGGTTGCATGATATTTATTATTTATTCTACACTATCATCATTTGCATTGTAGCCAACCACAAAATGGTGCACATCTTATCAATGCAGGTAATTCTCAAAAAATGTAAATAAATCAAAGCCTACCTCAAATCAGTAACGCCACTAATAGAAAAAACAGTTTTTATGAGAAATTATCGATTATTAACTACATCACTGATAATTACTACTCGCTCCAAATTCCTTACCATATTATCCAAGCTTCCACAATCCATGGTAATAAGTGAGGATAAATTATTATTAAATCGGAAGTAACCAAATAACATTCATTGCTGTTAGTCAATATTATTATTTTCGTTATTCGTATTGACAATAATTTGGGTAAAATATATTATATGAAATTGTTTACCGTCCGGAAACGGGATAGGTAACCGATTTTGACTTGTGGTACGGTAGCACTGCTTGCGAGTATGGTTGGTGTGTGAGTAGAGTTGTCAGTTGTAGAACGCAGCCGCTGTTGCCACGAGAGCGGCACTAGACGGTTGTAAGTATGAGTCGGAGTCAAAATCAAAAATCAAAATGTCTATAAACATGTCTCAGGGGAACGTCTCTTGTTCAAACTACAATAAATCTAAAAAAACCAAACTTTACCATAATAAAGATGACAATATTATTATCCGTGGTTTTACGTTCGATATAATTGATAAGTCAACTTGGTCTGTTTATATGATGCATAACTAATAACAATAAACTAAATTCTTACTCAGTTAATAAAAATAAGTGTATTATACCTATCGACTAAAAACCAACGTAAAAACGAGAGTATTATTGACATCTTTATGTTTGCAAAATTGTATTATTGGACAGCTACTGTAACCCAAATGAAAGCTATTCTTCATTTCTTCCGAAACATGTATTTGAACGAAAAATACGGGTGGGTACTGTGTTAATCCGTAATTATTGTGTATTAACTAAACGGCTGTATAGAAACTGGTCTCCAGAGTGATGCTCGCAGCTTATCCCCAAAAATCAGCTGTTTGTAGGAAGAACTGAGAAGTACAGCTAGTGCTCTCAGTGTACATGATTACAAGATATCTATCGAAATAAAAAGAATACAATATCTATCAAGAAAATATACACTGCGTAACTACATCAATTTCCGCTGGTTGCGATTCTTGCAGGGCGTAGGCCTTAATCGAGGATATACATAGGGCATCAAAAATTATGCTGCTTTGAGTTACCAGTATCTTAAATCGTGCTTCTATACTACAGAATAGATTAAATAATAAATACTACTACAAGGTAGGTTACAACCTACCATAGAGTATACACGATACATCCTACCACCCTACCACAATATACTACAGAATAGATGAAATTTCGAATTTAGTAGATATCTTCTGTACCTACATCGTCTTGACGTCTTAAAAATGTTCAACATGGCAAAAACTGTTTTGCGCTGGACAACTATTCAAAAATACTACCAAATACTGCTACCAAAATTCCCCAACGCATAGGGAAGAATTTTATCTGTGTCGCAGTGTTTTTATTATTTGGTTAACAGAAACACAATTAAAGCTATCAGTTTGTAAACATTAGGATTTTATTGTTTTTTTCATTTAATTATTAAACATTATCGGAACAAAATAATAACGCCACTACACAGATGAAGTTCTTTCCTATGCGTCTATGCGCTGTGGAATTTTGGTAATTCTACTATAACTACAGAGGGAGTATAGTTGTCCAGAGCTTAACAGTTTTTCCATGTTGTACACATAAAGGCTAGAGATATTAAGGAGACAAAACAGACAGCTGTACAGTGTACTTAATTGCAGCGTAGACGGTAAAATTCTATTGTCTTGGTGGTATATTCTGCTCCGCTATATTATGTCACCACCGCTACTGCTAGGTATTGCTGTAATTTTTGGGGACCTTAACAATATTTTTTTTACAACCATATTTTATGTTGGAATTTAAGCAAATTATTGCATTGCAGTAAAATGTATAACGTTTAATAATTTCATATTTCATACCATAAAATTTAATCTAATTTTAATTTCATTAAATGCATTAAAGGTTCTTTACAAGTTGTTGGTACTGAAGTCTGAAAGCATAAAATAAAGTTGAGCTTAATTCTACAAATATTTTTTTATGAGCGTCTCAAGTTTAAATTCTAACTAAATTGGATATTCAAGCTTAAAATAACGATTTCTCATCGATCGATTTTCTTATTGTGTTGTAATTCCAAGACAAATAACCGTAGATACTTGAAACTATCACCAAGTTTTTATGATAAATTATTCGATAAGCATATGGTATAATTTTCACTCTTTTTGAGCTGCTTTGAAATATTTGACATTTTCAAAAGCATGGGAATTTAATACAAGGTTCCTTAATCCTTATGAATCGTTATTATCTATAGCTATTTAAAAATATTTGACCTTTAAACTTAGGTATAAAACTATATTTTATAGATACAAACAATGAAATTTTCAAATGCAACGCATTTTTCAACAACAATTAAATCAACCTACTACATAAGGCATAACTACAATAATTACTAGAGACTATGGTGAAATTAATTTCTGCGGAAATATAATATATTAATATGTATAGGTAATTAAATAAAATATACTTATATATTATAGTAATAATATATAGGCAAACAGACAGACCGTCAACGATTTTCACTCGGACTCGTTTTTCGTACGGAATGATTTATTATTGAATTCAAATTTTACACTTATAGTAACTTACTCAATGGGGAGGTACACTCGACATCTATAGGTATTGTAGGTACAGCAGAGAACTGATTGGTTACATACTTTCCCCTTCTAAATTCTGAGCGGAGCGATGAATAATTTGATTTCATTTTCATAATGATGTGTGTTTTTTATTTATTCATTTATTTTTTGAGTCTGTCATCACGGTTTGGGGCAGTAAAAGTGCTTCGATTTTCTTCAACCGCAACATAACTAGTAAGAAAGTAAATCTAGTTGGTGCATCCGGGAGGCCAAATTTAAAATGTCCAATAGTTTTCAAAAGCGACAGGAAAAACGAAAATTTTACGGAAAACCAGTTTTTACCAAAATCAATTTTGGTTTTTAGTGTAACTCTAAATAAAATGATCGTAGTTACACGACATTTTTATAGAATGTTTGTGTTAGCATTTTCTATACACCATAAAATATTTTGTCTCTTTGTTGAACTATTTATAGGCATATGAAATTTTCGATTTTTATTTGTTTTTTTTTTTAAACTAATATCGATAAAAATTTTCTGCTCCGTCAAAAAACTTGTAAACGTAATACAAGGTTCTTCATAAGTTGTTGTTAGTGGAAATTAAAAAAAAGTTGAGAGTAAATACACAATAATTTTTTATGAGCGTTTGAATTTAGTATTTTGACAAAAATCGTAAAAATCACGAAAATTAGCAAAATTATTTTGAGTTAGAAATTCATAAATTTTCTTTTTATATCTAAATTTTAAAAATCTAATACAAGATTTATTAAAAGTTTGTCTACGTTTATCAAAAAAAAAAAAATTCTCCCGGAAAGTCTAATTAAATTTTTATGAGAGTTTGAAGTTGAAATTTGTACAACATTCACTCGATTTCTTATGTAGTGGTTTTCTTATTTTGTTGCAATTCAAAAACGAATTACTGTAGACACTTAAAATTTAGACCAGATGTAAAATTTATCAATTCTTGTATTTGATAAAATTTTCAAAATATTTTGACTCATTTTAAGCTGTCGACGGAAATTTTAAATTTTCATTTTTTTTTTATAAAAATGTCAATAAAATTTTAATCGTTAGGTCAAAAAGCGTGAACATTGAATACAAGACTCTTGAAATATTTTTACAACAGCAGTTGAAAAATATTAAAATACATATATGTATACTAAGGATTTTTTTGTAGGCATTTTAAGTTCAAATTTCGACAATATTTATCAAATTGAAAATGATTTTGTAGTTAAAAATGTATAGAATGTTTAATTTGTATAGCTAAGGATTGAAAATCTAAAACAAGGTTCCACCTAGTAGTTTTTTCCGTTACTAAAAATCTAAAAAATGTGTAAATACAGGTATTTTTTACAGACGTTTTAAGTTCAAATTTGGACAAAATTATATATTAACACAAAGAATAACGTTTGTCATTTTGTTGTAATTTGGTTTTAAAACAGCTCAACGTAAAATAAGTACATTTAATATGTTTCCAGCATCACTGATAATTTAAGAATTAAAATATAAAAAAAAAATTTAATATTTAATATATATTACATTTTTATTCATAATATTAATTCAACTTACCGGCTACCGTAATAATAATAAGTAATAACAATATAAAATATCCTAGACTGACATGACATACAGCCTCTGCTCAGAATCGTTTTTCATGTACAATTGTATGATATCATTGAATTCAAATGTAATACCATCCATTACAGCGACCTTCTAGACACCTAATGTACAGCAGAGCCACATCCACTTACCCTCTTTTTTTAATTGTTAATAAACATCATGATGTTTTATTTTCTACAAGTTAAACATTTTACTATACAAAGGAGTACTAAAGCATGTCTTGTAATAATAAAATGTAGGTATAGGGACAAATAACAATAGTATGCGTAGTCTAACGTTAAATACAAAGGAACCAATAATTATACAAAAACAAATCATTGTTTATTGATTTGTACGCCTAATCCTTGGCTATAAAAATTTAACATCAAGAACTACAAAATGATTTGCAAATTTTCAAGATTTTGACGATTTTGCTAATAACAAATATTGGAAACATTTTGCAGAGTGAATTTATTTTACTATATATACTATATTTTACTATTTATATATTTTTCAATATATAAAGAACAAATAAAAAAAAAAACATAAATTAAATAAATGTTTATAAAAAGCTCAAAACTGTTTTATAAACGCTTAAACATTAAAGTCATATCTTAATAAAATTCGTCAAAATAACGAAAAGAACAAATTAATTTATAGTTAAAAATGTAAAACATTATCAATATTAACGTTTAAGGTTTGAAAGTTTAATACAAGGTTACTGTTCTTCATAAGTGATTTTTACTAAAACTTATAAATCTAAATATTATAAAATCTAATTTTTATTGACATTTTAAGTTAAGAGGATGTCAGCAGCGCATTGTTTGTTTTCTCTCTCTGGCTTTTGCGCAACATAGACAAAACACATTTACGCAGAATCAAATTTTTTATGTTTTTGAATAATCTTAGAGTAAAAAACCTCATTGCGAAATCGATAGACAATAATATTTTAGAGGTAATAACATTAAGTGAGGATCCAAAACTCTGCACGGAGGGGGCACTTAAATTTAAAAACATTTTACGATGTTGATTTTTAATAATATATGAAAAATGATAAAATATTGTTTTAGTGAACACAGGGAGGGGAGCACTGTTATTAACTTTTGAGTCATTACAAACTTACCGTAAAATGGTGTGAAATGTAAATATGACTGTGGAATATAATTGTATAGATATTAAAATGGCAAAAGATTAACATTTTTCTAAATATTTATAATATAATATAGTATGCACTATAGTACTATACATAATATAGTAAAATATAATAAGATATGTAAAAGTTTCAAGTTCCCAAGAATGATATTTTTTTGAATTACAACATACTGTTAGTTTACTTTAGTTTCTCAACTTTACAAGTATAGGTATTGAATTTCGTCAAAATGTTAAGAAAATGCCAGCACAGTATTTGTTTTCTCTCTTAGATTCACGAGCGACATTGATAAAACGCTTCCCCTTAAAAACATTTTTTTATGATTTTTTAGCAATCTTAGAATAAAATCACCTATTACAAAAATTATAGATGATAATATTTTAAAGGGTATGACATAACATCGGTTTTCTATTTTTAGTAAGTTTAGTTAGTAAATTTTTTTTTTTATAAGTTATACATTATACTTAACTATTTAGCTAATTGTTAAAAATTTAATTTTTATTTATTGAAATTCTCAGAAAAATACTTTGTTTTTGGAATTGATAATTTAAAATATAAACTGTCGTTTAAACAACAAAAACCTCAAGAAATTATAGTGATAGAAAAAGTAATATTTTTAGTGTTTTTGTAATGAATTAAAAATTTGTAATAAAAATCAAAATTATTCTACGAAAAGACTGTTTACGGTAAAATAAACACCCATTATAGACTGATTGTGTAATCTTTAACATTCTACCAATATTATTAATGATATATATTTTAATATTTATGAATTTTAAAATGTAGACATTATATTATATAATGAATAAAATAGTGATAATAATAGGTAAAAAAAATGTTCTTGTTTCCTTAAAAGTTTGGACCCTAAAATTAAACTAAAGTAGCTTTGGGGATATCCCTAGAATTTCTTTAGAGATGTGCCAATATAAAATAAAAAAATATAAATATACAATTGTTCACTTAAAAATAATCCTTAGTAAGTTGTAAGTAGGTGTTATAACATGCATATAATTGTATGAATCTGAAATAGATATGAGTATATGACTGTAAATAGTAAATGTACCAATATATATATATAATACTATTGTTCAATAATATATTTTATTCACTTAGTATGATAATTTATGTTTACAGATGAATCAATGTTTTTGGTTAAAAATCAAAATAGTTTCATTTTTCAGATTATTCATATTATAATACCTATATATATACATACATACATATAAATAAATATAATTTGTTATGTTATGTAAATATGTCTTCAGTGTCCAACAAAAAGTATTTCTATTTATTTGTGAATGGTTTGGGATAAGATCGCCAAAATACAGAGAGAATCGTAGATAAAGGAACAAATAAAAGGAAATAAACGGAAGACCCCTTCCAAGTAATATAGTTTTTTAAAAAAATGAACTGGATGCCAGTCAACATCTCTCCCTCAGTCCATTCTTTCGGTGTATAGACACGCTGCAGAAAACACTACCTACCTACGTCGTCGTATAATAATTTTAATCGTCAGTGTAAAATGTTTTTCATAGCCGCAGTCATTTCTGTTTTTATTATTATTTGTATCTTAGATATTATTACACCGCATAAATATCCAATAGGTAAGACTTTAACTATATTATTATTATATTTTAATAGATTTAATATTATGTACACTAAACTATATATTAGGTGATTATAATATTATTTTAAGTTTTTATTATTTACATGATACAAATATGAAGCATATTTATGTAGGTAATTGTATACTTAATAATAAAGGTAACTAGTAGGTACCTACACATGTAATTAGAATATATTTTTTGTTGGATATTTTAGAATGATCAATAGGTATTTAAAACATATTTTTATCACTTTAATTTTCTAAGATTATAATTATTAATGTATTTACGAATTTTACTAAATTGATTAAATACATTAAACTCTGATATTTATCTTCAGCCAAATCCCTATTCGACGTTTTATTAAAATTGTATAAGCCAGCAGTAGTTTTATTTAAATAAATTCTACTATTTAATGTAATAATCATACTCTAACGATTTTTAACTAAAATTAATATTGAACTCTTTGACATTATACAAAATATATTTTTTTTATATCTAAATAATTATTAATTTGTAGGTTACTTTAACTAATAAAAAATATATTTTTTTAATAGTTACTTAGTTTTTTGTTGAGAATATGCATTAGTTTTAATTGACAAATAATTACAATTGAATATTTTATTATAAGCCCTACTTACAATTTTTGTTTGTCATTTCACTAAAAAATCTTCTCTTTAATTTTTGTATGTAAATTATGATTAAAAATATTCTTTGTAAGAAAAGCATGTACGTTATGCGTCATAATTTTTAGTTTTAAATTAATATATTGATAATATGCGGCATTAGGTTCAAATTAATTCGACAAAAAGTAATTTTTAAGATGTTGAACTGTTAATACGTAGAAAATCATATTCAAGGTCAACAGTGTTAAAAGAGGCCTAACTTTCTTATGGTAATGATTTTTTTATTGATCCGTTTCATATTACAACATAGTCACATAGGTTCATATAAGTTCCTATTAAAAACAAAGTATATGTAGTATGTACCAAAGAATATCGTGAATCGTGTGGGTGCTACTCGTTTAAAATAAAATGAATTCATTTTAAATTTTAATATTATTATATGCATACCAAACGGCAACAATGCACCTGCAGGTGGCTGGCATCTATAGGGGTGTATTGTTTGAGAATCATTAATTTAGGGAAGACAAAAAAGGAAAAAAAAAACCGTTGACCTAGAAACTAGTTATGATCTTGAGATAGGTCAGGTGTAAAGAGGATGTTTAACCCTACCTCGTTTATTTTCTAAAAGAAACAATGTGTATACATTATGTTGGGTGATCGCAGGTAATCGATAACAAATAATGGGTTTGTTATTTTCTTTCGTCTAACGGTCGTACCTAAAGATAAGCATTATGTTAGATACCTACAAGTTTTCATTGCCTTCAACAGTCATTGACTCCGTTATAGATTCCATTTTGTAATAATTTATTTTAATAAAATGTAAATAGTAAGTGTAAATTTAAACCTTAGATACTTAATAATGTTCTGGTTGTAGAACGATATATATGTGTTCAATAGTATATTTTTTTACCTATAGACTATAATCTATATACACACCTAAGCAAATCAAAATCTAGAACTAAGAAGTAGGTACATTTTATTCTTTTATTTTAAGCTTCATCGTCAATTTCGATTAAATATATTCATTTTATCGATTACTATAGTAATATAGTACCGTAACCAGATCCAAGAAGTGCTTTCACCCCTCCCGAAATCACAATTTTTTACTACAGTAAATATTATTATAATATACATGTTACACGTATATACACTATTATCACTTATCTAGTTCCTACCAGTTCGGAACATACACTGAAAATGACTATCTAACCTATATACTGCTATATTATCTCTATTGAATTAAACTATTTTGAAATAGTATTATTATTTTGGGTGCACAATGCACTTCAATGTTATAGACCAATACGCACTTCAGCACTTGAAAGGTTTGTGGAAATATAAAGAGACTTATTAATAGTAATTCCCAACTTCCCAAGTAAGTGAGATGCGTTCTATATAATGTATACCTATCTACTTAATATACAAATACTTGTGGAACTGTTAATTTTTTTTGGATGGTCTAATAGAATGTGAGATTTGATATAATTTTATTTACAAATAAATATAGAACATTAGAACAGAATTGTAAATAATAAAACTATAAATTATTAATTACTATTAAATGGATAAACTAAGACAATTAATGTTTACAGGCCCTACAAGAGTTCCTTTACTTGGCAACTATCTTGAAATTCGAAAACTCAGGAACGAATTAGGATTCTATCACTTGGTTTGGGATCATTTGGCCAAATGTTACGGTCAAGTGTTTTCTGTTAAACTTGGTCGAATAGAAGCAGTGGTTGTTTCTGGGTATGATGCAGTACGGCAAGTATTGTGCAAAGATGACTTTGATGGCCGACCAGATGGATTTTTTTTCAGATTCCGAGCTTTTTATAAGAGATTAGGTGAGTTTACCAAAACAAAATATTTCATTTTTTAATATTTAATATTAATATAAAACATTTAAAAATTAAGGCATAGTATTTGTGGATGGACCAACGTGGACAGAACAAAGAAAATTTTGCATGCAACATTTACGAAAGATGGGGTTTGGTGGTGATTTAATGGAAAGAATTATAATTGAAGAAGTTAACGATCTTATGTTAGATATATCGAGAAAATGTGAGGTATGTGTACCAATACATTTTTTACAAATTAAAAAAAGAATATTATATTATTATCACTGTGTTGAATTTCATTTTAGAATGGTAAACCAATTGAAGTTTATGGTTTATTCGACGTATCAGTTTTGAACGGTCTGTGGGCAATGTTAGCCGGTCATAGATTTGCATTAAATGACTCTAGACTTGCAAGACTTATGGAATTAGTACACGTCAGTTTCAGAATGTTAGATATGTCAGGAGGAATATTAAACCAGATGCCATTCATTCGGTTTTTAGCACCTAAATGTTCTGGATACAAATACCTCAAACAAATAATAAACGAGTTTTATACGTTCTTAAAAGTAATTTAAAATTAGTCAAGCATTTTTATTTTATTCATTAGACTCTATGAAATGCCCTATAGGAATCAGTTGAAGAACACAAATGCAAAGCAAATGATCAGGAAGATTTCATAAGTGCATTTTTAAAGGAAATTGAAAAAAATAAAGAATCTCCGGGGTCGTTTTCAGAAGAACAGCTTCTTGTTATTTTATTGGATTTATTTTTAGCTGGCTCGGAAACTACAAGCAGTATGTTATCATTCGTTATTTTACATCTCCTTAAACATCAAGATATACAAGCCAAAGTACACGCAGAGTTAGATGCGGTAGTCGGAGATCGAGAAATTCATCTTGCAGATAAAAACAGGTACAGAGCTAAAGGCTTACATAATCAAACTAAAAACAGTTTTTTTTTTTAAAAAAATTGGTAATTATAAACAGGTTGAATTATCTTGAAGCAGTATTAATGGAGGTTCAGAGACATAGTAATGTTGCGCCATTAGCAATCGCTCATAGAACTATTAGAAAAACCAGTCTACAAGAATACATAATACCAAAAGTATGCGATAGCACTGTTGTTAAATATCTATACTTAAGTATTGGAAATAATTATTGTAAGAACAATTTTTAGGATACATTAGTATTGGCGAGTATATGGAGTGTTCATATGGATGAACAGCATTGGGGTGATCCCAAAGTATTTCGACCGGAAAGATTTTTGGACAGTACAGGAAAAATTATAAATGACAGTTGGTTTATGCCGTTTGGCGTCGGTTAGTATATATTATAAATTGTTACTATCGTCATAAACAAAATATTTAATGGGTGGTTTTGAATTTTTAAACTGAAGGTAGACGAAGGTGTTTAGGCGAGATATTGGCCAAGACCAATATATTTATGTTCATCGCCAAATTAATTCAAAATTTTGAGATACGAATACCGCGCGGAGCCCAATTGCCAGATACGCCTCAAGAAGGTGTCACTATTTCTCCATCTCCGTTTACTGCCATTTTTATACCAAGACGTTGTTTAAGTCAATAAAATAACGTTTGATAACAGTTAAAATTTGTACCACGGATAATTCACCATCTTCAAAAAAAAATCAACAATACTTACTGTTATACCTATTATTATTAGGTATAAGCCTATAATAATATGTATCATTACAATTTACAATACCTACAGTTAAAATATTAAAATTATCATAACTTTTAAAATATATCATACCATATAGCCGTATAGGTTATTCATGTATTGTACAATCCAGATTCATTATTTTATGAAGACACAAATTTAGTTATTTACATACGCTATGTACCTAATATTTTTTATTTAATTAAAATATTAAAATGTATATGCTTATTTATTTTGTCAATAAAATTAATATAAGGAAGTAAGAGGGATTATAATTATTTGAAGCTATGAAAGAATGACTAAATGAGGAAACCGGAAAAATTAATTAAGTTATAAAAAACTGATTAAATAATAGAGACTGAGGAGCTCTTGTGTATGGCGGTGATATCCAGGGGTTGATACGTTATATTTGACTATTTATTTATAAGTAGGTATTGTTAATAGAGTACTTTTCATTCGATTCATACAACTAACGCCTACATGTAAAAAATCATATGAATGTTTCAGTTTAATCAATAACTGTACCTATATAGCTAATACTAATTTTGTATTAATTTTGTATTATTTTATTTTAATTATACAATGAACTTATAATTTTTTAGTATAAATTATTTATGTAATTTACTTATAATAATTAAGAACTTCACCAGTTGTCGTTTGCGCATCACTATTGTTAATTTTGACCTGTTTTGTTAGACAGTCGCGCATCGTTCGATTTTTCGGTTATACGTCGTTTGCGCATTAACAGTTTAAAAGGTCGTACATCATTTGCGTATCAATATTATTTAGCCGTAGAACTGAAAAAGATGTACATCCAAAAGCTCAAATTGTTTCCTAACTTTAATCTTAAAATGTACACGTTTCTAAATTACATTTTTAAAATATAGTATAGGGATTTCTGTTTTTAAATTTATTTGTACCGTAGTAATATTGTGTACGTCAACAACTAGATTACATTCATAAACTTAAGCTTAAATTTACCACCAGTGAAATAAACTGGTTTCATTTGGTAACAATAATGGGACATTACAATATGCCAAGTATTGATTCATTAATATTTTTAGTGCTGAATTAATTGATTTGTATACAATTAATTTTGTATTCATTTCTACTCAAACTTTAAGTATAGTTGCATTTTAACTATGACTATAATGTGTTTAATTTAAATGAATACAATTTATTTTTTATTCGTTTTCATTTTTACTCAAACTATAAGTATATTTTGTATTTGTATTTGTATTTTTTTTGAGTAAAAATGTAAATATATGTATTTTTATTATTTTTAAACTTATAAATCTTAAATTATTCATCATCCATAAACATTACACATTATGTAATATATTTTTTTTATACTCTTCTATTTCTCAGAATATTGATGCGCATTTGATGTACGATAATTTGGTGCAGGTAAACAGGCAATGCACAAATGATAATCGTACGGTGATGTGCAAATGATGAACTCATACCTATTAATTATAGTAGTTACTAGTTACCTATCTATTATATTAAATAAACGAATCAAATACACAATTAATAGTTCAATAAATTGTTATTGTTGTCTGTTGGAGAATATACATTTTTATTAGTACCTACGACCTACGTCCTACCTATGATTTATTTATACGTGACTGTGTTATTATTATTTGACCGTTTGGGTTAAACTTACGAATATAGGTACTTATATGACCGACCACTGACTAGAGGCCGTCTAAAGATTTTGTGTTCTAGGGTCAAATTAGTTATAGGGCACCTGAATTATCATTATATGATGAAATACAGAAATACGAGTCACTACAGCTCAGAGTTTTGTAAAATATTAGCAAATTTGACCAGTTAAGGCCATCACACTCGTCAGTCGTCACTCGTCATATCGCCAAATAGGTGTTAATGTATATAGACCTAATAAGATCTTATTTTAGGTAGGTCCATGTGTTAATTGTAACTATTATAGTTTTAACTTTAAAGTATTAAAATAATAATATTTTGTAACAATACTATAGCTGTGTGAGTGAAGGTACAACACTAAACAATGAATAGATAGGTAGATACCATATAGGCGTTACTATAGAGTATAGGCACTTTTGGCACTAAATTAGTCCACATTTTTAGGCCAGTAACTAATACTTACTATTAAAAAAAATGACATGAATTTATTTATTTGTTTAATTTTCTTATAACTCCGTGTGTCCTTGATCATCTGGATCATTGTCCAGAAACAAAATGAAATATAAATGTGAACACGTGTATCCATTCTCTACTTTTAATTAGTAATTACTAATTAATAATTCATAAATTAATATAGCCAATATAGGCAATTTTATATGCAAAGAATCAATTAATAAGACATTTGTTTCACCTATTTATGCAATGAAAAATTTCAAACATAAATAATTTTAGTCTGAATAAGGAGTGTACTATTAATTATATGCAAAAACAACTTTTAATAGAAAAATAATGAAAATCTAAATTTGAACTCATTTATACATAATAAACAGTTTTAAGTTATAAGTCAAACAACATCAGGGGTATAACTACTATAACTAGCATAACTGGTATAAGTATAATATCTTAGGTATACACTACATTTATACAAAAATTACACATGATAATAATTTGTGACATTATTTTCATTATACCTAATATATTATATTTTGTTATAGGCACACGGTAATACCTAATTAGGAGTATGAGACATGAGTATAGTGTATAGAGGTACATGTGTTCACATTTATATTTAATTTTTTCTCAGGGCTTTTTTTCCGTGGTCTTATTTTCCGCGATTATCTATGCTTGTGAGCCCGTGTATGTCACAACAACAAATTTCGTATTGAAAATACAATAAAAAAATATATTTTTTAGAGTTAGGAATCCGAGATTCAACTATTCAAGGAACTATATATTAATGATTTGCCTAATAAATATCCCCAGAAATAATAACCCCGGAAAAAATAACCCCATGAAAAAATAACCACGGAAAAAATACAATACAATTTCAATAATATAATAATAATTTAAAACAAATTTTCAATTTTTTCAGTCACGGTAAATAATAATATTTAAAAAAATATATAATATATATAATATTTATATCTATTTTATATTCGTTTTCTCAAATTAAAGGATATTTTTTTCAAAAACATGTCTACTTCAATTTCGTTTAAATTTAACCGTGCACACAAGGTTTTTAATCTCTTTTGAGCTGTTTTTGATTTAGAACATTTAGTTTTGGACTCACCTATAGTTTGCAAAGCAAGTTTTGCACGGTCAGCCGACAGTTCATTTTTTATTTTATTGATTAATGTCCAAATCGATGGATGTTTTACTCCGACTAAATGACTAGATCTATTGTTCCAGACAATATCTCGCAAATATTATTGGTACGTTGATTATTTTGTAGAGTTGTTTGGTGAACATTCCAAGTTTCCGGACGACCAAGAGGTATATTTAATTTTAAATAGTCAATACCTTCGTTTAATCTAGTTAGTAGCAAAAAAGCCAAATCATCTAACATACCACAAAAGTTATTAAAACTATCATCATCTTGATACCTCTTTTTTAACCCTAACTCCGCTAATTTCCTGTGAGTGCTCTGACAAAGATGGTAGCAACATCCATTTATTGTTAAATGTTCCCCTAATACATTTTTTGCGGCATTTATTAGTGCTTTTTCAAAATCAACTTTCAGGTATAGTGGATCTGGAAAAAACTTGTTCTTTTCACAAACTGAAAGAATAGCATGGAACATTATTTCGTAAATGCTTTGAGTTTTTTTTTCGAGTAGGCAGAAAAGAACCGTATGGAATTCATTATATTTTTTAATTCTTATAATGTATAATTGCAAAAAAAATTTCGGGGCCAATCCAAAGTTACCATCTGCATACCAGGTATTTGAACTTGCTGAGAGCTTCAAGTTACTTCTAGATCCAAAAATGATGACCTTTTCATTTTCTTCACTATGGTTATCAAATAATAAAAACGTATCATTTTCATAAATACTCCATTCACCTACAATACAATTATGATTATATTAATAATAAATATATTATGTTGATAATATAATTTTTTAATCATTTTTTTTATATTTTTTTATTTTTAGATTCTGAGCGGAGCGATTATTTGAAATTATTTATTGTACTAATTATTTTTTTAATATGTATTGATTTTCGTACACATATCAAATGTTAATATATTTTACTGTATTATTATTATTAATAATTACTTATAATATAATAATAATATAATGGAACAGCGTGTTTTGTGCCTGTTAGACCGAGTTTTGCTCCGTATATTAATAATAAATAAATAAATAATATTGTATCATAGTACAATATATACCTTCTATTTTTAAATCTGTTAGATTTTCAGGTACTATTGGAAAATTCTGAGTCCTTTGATTTTGAATTGTTTTTTTAATAGATTTTTCTTTCGGAAGTTCTTCAAGAATACTTTCCGAAACACCCGTCATAGCTTCTGGAAATAATTGTGCTGGCGTAGACTTCGTTATTTTAGCCCGTGTTTTAATTTGCACTTTAATTTTTGCGGCATCAATTTCATTTTGACATGAAAGATGATTATGTTCATGATCAATTTTAATTAAACGTTTTTTATCCAGGGAAGTTTTTAAAATACATGGACATTTGTGGCTATTTTTTTTGCAGCATTTCCACCTTATAAAATGTAAACACTCTTTGTGTACAACATACATATACTTTTTAAATGCCAACTTTTCTTTGCCCTTCTGGCTCTCGAAAATATTTAGAGTATCCATAACACTATTCGAATAGAAATTACAACAAAGCACAGAGAAATATACAATACACGAAAGCACACTGTAGCCTGTAGGACACTGTAACACACACAGGACTTGACAAATTTTATAAATTACCGCTTCTATCAGAACATTAAAGATAAAGGAACCTTTCTTATCCATCATAATATGTTCACATTGTCGCTGTACTTACCTTGTTATTATATATCTGATCAATATGGCCGTGCTCTGAATCGTTTTTATCGTAGGTAATCAATAATTTATCATTGAATCTAAAATTAACGTTATTTGTGGGAATATAACAATTGTACGTAGGTAATAGGTATGTTATTCATTTTGTCTCATAATCTCATATGGGATTTTTTTTTCCGTGGTTATTTTTTCACGGGGTTATTTTTTCAGGGTTTTTTTTTCGGGGTCTAAATTTCCGGAGTTATTTTTTCCGGGGTTATTTTTTCGCGGTACCATATTAATACAGGTTCGGTCAGCGCAGAAACGGATCCAGAGGGGCCAGACATATTATTTTCCAATTTTTTAAAATAATTCTACAGATCCTGTAGATATTACTATATTTCAAATTACATAAATGTAAACCACCATTGAAAAATCCTGAGTACGCCATTGGGGTGAAGTATTATTATCTGGATGGACACAAGTCCATTTGGATTTTTTTTGGAGATCCTGAAAAATTGTTCTAAAATGAAACCTGTAGTAGCAAAATGGTCCTGTTGCCCAACCACCCTGAACAGTATTGGATATGAATGATATGATTATAGTATTATATACGCAGCCTAAAGTTCAACCATATTATGTGTAATGTACAACTTCTACGACTGTTAGATACATTAAAACAATTAATAACAGATTAATGTTGTGAACTACATTCAAAATCAAACTTAAAATGAAGTACCTACCTAAAAGCTTGATCATCAATGTCAATGTCTCAAAATTCTTTATTATGTCATCTGTCACAACTTAGAAGTTTGAAAAACGAGCTTATTTTATGATACTTTTAATACCTATGTAATCTTGTTATTTATTGTGGATTTGAAAATTGTTGACATTTTTTTTTACCGAATATCAAATAAATAAAAACTATACTGGTCGTTGTAAATAAATGTATAGGTACCTATTACCTAGCACCTGGACCTAGGTACCTAATACCTATACAAAAGTTAAGTTCACTTTAGAAATGGCTAACTGATATTATTATGTTATTATTTATTATCATGTCTATCAGTTTATGGATATCATAATCAGAACAAAAACACCTAACTTGTCGAACTACACTACGTGTAAAAAGCGGATAAGTAAAAAAAATCATATCTTTAAGCACCATAAAGATGTGATATCATAAATAAATGTTAAGTAAATTTAATTAACGTACACTTATTTTGTTTCAATATTGACAATATTTAATTTACTCGGAAAGAAATGATATACTTTATATGAAGCGACACACGAAATAAAGTGAACAAAATCAACAAAAGGCATTAGAAGTACATTATAATTTAAAATATTTTAATAGATATTTCTACTCAAAATAATTTCTAGACAAGTAAATAAATTATTGAAGCGAAATAAGTGTACTTTAATTCAATTTATTTAGAATTTATTTATTTACAGTTTTTCTGGGGAATTTATTTTATCACAATAATTTTTTATTCAGTAAATACTTTTTTTAGTTCGATTTCGATGATTTTTGTAAAAGGATCATCTGCTCAATTTGTCTGATTTTTCCCCATTTATTCGTTATTAATTGATTGAGTAGGTAATTAGTTAGGTCCGGTTAAAAAAACACCAAAATGTACACTGTTTAAATGGGCAACTACTTCGAGATAATATTATACTCTAGAGTACAACAGCTGTTGTGCCGCCACTATTTTTTTATAATTTAACTTACAATTTTAAATATGTATTAAAATACAAGATTATGAGATTTATGCCACATTTAATAATACCTACTTATAACTTATGTTAAATAATAATTATATATTCAAAATACATCATAACCACAATTATAAATGAAATCATTTTATGTACCCATAATAGACATATTATGTAAACAACAATTGTTGTTGTATATGTCTATGTATATACCATGGTTTATATACTTCAATAGTTATCAGTAATTATACTGATAAATAACTATTTTTACCGCCAATTTTTATACTTGATTACAGATTCTTATATAATGTTAATATATTATTATTTTATACTCATTGAACATCGTTGAATTAGAAAGTAATGAACACAGTAATAATTTTAACTCATATATTTAATAAATTTCAATAAGATATAAATTTTTAAAGCCCTTGTTATGATTTTAATTTTTTATTTGTTAGTGTTTATTATTGATGTTTGACTTTAAATACTACACATATATCAGTTAAATTTACAGTTCTAATACATTTATATTTTATATGCCTACATTGGTGTATTTAAAATAATATTTTGTTAGTTTTATGGAATAGATTCATTCAAATTAATTTAAAAAAATGAATACTCTCGATGTTATATCATCGTCATGTGATTTATTCAGAAGAGGAAGGTTTACAGATTGTTGCGACCTTATTCAATTGCATGTTGATAATTGTCATTTACAAAAAATTACTATTCATGACGAAGTTGAGTTTATCATTCTTAGAAACAATTTACTCGTTTGTAATTCTCTGGTATGTATCAACTATGCATATTGACATTTGAATTTATTTTGAATTTATTTAACTGTTTTGGTAGAGGATTTTACCAGAAATTAGTACTGAATATGTTGGGAAGATGACTGAATTTATGAATATTTCTCAACTGTTTTTATATGAAAAACATATTCCATTGGAACTGCGGATCAATTTTGTTTATAATACTCTGCATTGGTACTGGTTAAAACCAATTGACATTCCTGATTATTGTTATAATAAAATAATGACATTAGTCAATGAATCATTGCATGAAGGTTGGTATTTTTTAATAAAAATATCAATAATTCACTGATTACTATACTAAACTTAATGAAATACCAACCATTTTCAGTATTACATGAAAATGGAAAAAGTATTGTAAATTTGGGATCACATATCGGCAACGAACAAGATATACTTAATAGCCTTGAATGCCTGTCCAATGGGTTTCTTGGTTTAGAGCCAATACTAGTTGTCCAATGTTTGGAAATCTCACAGATATTACTATTAATTTTTTTGTCTCAACGTAGTTTTACTTCACTCTTAGTAAATTTTACAATGGAATTGATAAATCAAGTCAAAACTATAACATGCGCTTTTAAAGTTAAAAAACCAAATCATGTTGCTAACTGTTTTAAATTAGGACTTTCAAAAATCAATGTTTTTCTGGATACAGAGCACATGAGAACAATAATTACTAGTGGACATGTGGCCTTGTGTATAAGACACATTTTAGAAAATCAACATCAACAAGCCTTGTCCACACTGAACACAATAGAACAATACGTGAATCAAAATGATGAATTTTTTTGTTTGTTGTGCTATTTAAAGGCTCTTGCAAATTTCAATTTAGAACAGTTTGAAATTACATTATGTTATTTATCGCAAATGGTTAAATGCCTGATGGAACCGTTTATTAAATCAAGGTGCTATTTATTGCTTGGAAGAACTCATTTAAAAATGGGTAATAGTGATTTGGCAATACAGTCATTGGAGGAATTAAAAGAATCAGAATTTAATAATATAATGGCTTATTATGTGTCACAGCATTATGGAATGAATAACATGCAGTTTATGCAAATGGTGGTGTTGGAACAGGCTATTAAGGTAATGTTAATAACAATATTTAAAATACATAATCCTATATGATAATTAAAAGTGGCTGTTTAGGGAGATTTTGATGGACATAAAGGGTACGAAGAATTATCCAACAGTTACACTACAAAGGTACTTATTATTTTACACCCTCAACCAGATTTGACTAAAAAACAATTACTTTACTTGGCAGCAAAAAAAAAATATGAACATACTGTATGTACTTTTTAAAATTATTGTTTTTACCCTTAGATGCATACTGATCATTTTAAATGATATTTTTAGAGTTATAATCTAGCAGCTTCTACTTATTTAAGTATTTTAAACCTGGATGAGGTTGATCAATATGTTTCTGACTTGGTAACAATTCCACCAATGTTTATGCTCAAACACGAAGCGGCTGTAGCTCTGTTAAAAGCTCGTAAACCAGAAGAAGCTTTTAAACTATGTCAATCTTTGATTGAAGAATATGAACCAGGATACGGCATGTGGAAGAGTGGTTCATTCTGGGCTGATGAACTGAATGGTTATAATTTTAATGTAGTTGGAACTATGTTATTGGCTGAAACGGGTTTCAATAAAAATACTGATATGGTTTTGGAAGCGCTAAACAAGTAGATTTTTATTTCCTAATTGTATGGATGTTCTTTAGTTCATTTTATAATAATTCTTATTCAAGGTCGTTTAATTGTCTGTATGCTAAAATCAGTTTTGATTGTCTGACGGAACCTAATGACCACGAAGAAGAAAGTACAACTTTGCGACGAATCCTCATAGGTAAAATATTATTACTTAAAGCAACAATTTTAAGTAAATTAAATAAAGAAGAGGACTGCGAAGCTGCATTCAAAAAGGCACTTACATATAATACTGGTAAATTTAAAAATAAATCTTAGACATATAACTAGTGAACCACAATATAAAATATTTAAAATAAATGTAATATATAATTTATATTCATTGTATATTTGCTTTAAAATTCTTATTTATCTATATTCATCTTATATATATCTTAAATTATATTTGGTAACTTTTAAAAATAAACTAAGATTGAAGTGTTGAAATGACTATGATAGATAAAATATATTGTTATTTTATCTATATACATATTTCAAGTTAAAAAGATGAATGTAAATTTTAAAATATAAAATTTGCATACCTGGTAGTGTATAAAAAGAGTTCTGTTATAGTAAACGTAACAGGAAATGTACCTATTATTTATACTTACAATAAAGATAACAAAGTCCGTTGTTAAAATGATATATCATTCAAGTGATTTCTGTTGAAACATTTTTTTTTTTAGGAGATGAAGATATTGTATATTTATATTCAAAATGGTTAGAACATAAAGGGAAGTTATTAGAATCAATGAAGGTTCGTGATCAATTTGATCGAAACAAAATTAATACAATTACGTGTGATAATATTGTTATGACTTTTGTTTTGGAAAATAAGCATGGCCTTGAAGACACAATAATTGGTGAAAATGTGATGGATGACTTATTTGCTAGCCCTGATGATAAATCTATGGACCTAGACAATGAAATGGATCCAGCTGATGATGATATTTTTAATAACTTGTTTTTGGACTAAAATAATTTTAAAAAAGATTTTAGCTGAAACATATGTATTTATTATTTTTGATTTGAGTTTTGTAATTACTAAATAAAAACGTTTTTTTTTAGGTTTATAATTTAAACAAATATTTTTATAATTCCAGCTGTCTATAGTAGAGGGGTTAAAGCCTGTATATATCTGTGTATCTAAATACTCATGAGCTTGAATACTCATATATTTAAATAATGAAAAGTAAATATAATAAATAATACAGAGTTTATTTATTTTTACATTATATTATGATAAATAATTATTATATTTTAAGTTTATCTGAATTCTAAATTATTATACAGATGTTTGTTAAATACACTGATATCCACAAGTATTAAATACACAGGGTTTATTTATTTTTTATAATCCGTGTACCTGTGATATTTTAATACCCATTCACAACCACGACCTCTAGTCTATGATAACATAATTATACATTAAATGATAAATATTACATATACAAATTGTAGCACAGTATAATTGGTTTTACAGTAGCACCCTTCATCTGATTTTTTTTAGTCTACTGGCACATGTCTAGTTTTCTGTCCATAACAAAAAACCAAATTAATAAGAGTAATCCCCAAATTAATTTAAATTATTTGTGTGATATTAAATTATAATGGCACTTTGAATTTGAACGTAATAATACAACCTGACCAACATTTTAAAGCTTCAATTTAAATTAATATCAATATAGTTACACATCAACGACGTTGAAACATGGATCATTTTAATCATAACATTTTTTGAATGACGATTTACTAGGTTGGCTTAAATAATGATTTCAACTCCTTAAAAAATAGTGCTATAGATTTATTCTCAAAAAAAAATTTAATAAAATTACCACACACCAAAAGTGTAACAAGTAATAACTTAAAAAGTTATAACATAAAAAAATAAACTAATATTTGATTTTTAAAACACCCTCATTATTAACAACAATATACTATGTATACTTAAACTATAGTAACAATATAAAAATACATCATAAAATAATAATACAGAAAAACAAATTTTAAATACCATTCATCAGTACATAATATGCTCCTTCTGAATTGATTCAAATTTTTAATTTTAAAATAATATTCTCTATATTAATTCATTGAAATTTAACTTATAAGGTTATTTTATTCAATTTTAATCCAATCTTTAGGATTTTTTAGAACTTCTGTTAATTTTCCTTCTCTACTATTAGGATCTGGATTGTGCATATACATCCAGTTCTATAATAAAATAAATTAGTATATTATTATCATGTGTGTTTCAAACTACAATATAGTTTATAATTTAATAATAATATATTCATGTAATACATATTTTTATCCACGCCAATGTTCAAAATATTAATATTAAAAAAAAAGACACTGACATTTTACTATTCTAAACAAACCAATATACATAATATAAATAATAGTTATACTATTGATTAACAAGAAATTATAGACAAATAAATGTTACAAACTTACTGCAGTTAAAGGAAGTGACATAAGAATACTTTCATATCTAGCTCCAGGCGTGTAGAGACCGAATTTTGTACCTCTGTCATAAATCAAATTGAATTCAACATACCGCCCACGTCTTAGCAATTGCCATTCTCTTTCTTTGTCACTATACAAATCATTTTTATGCTTTTGTACTATAAATAAAATATGATTATATTAGTACTTTATACAATTTCATAATTAAATACTAAATACCTAATGGTAAATATGAAGGGATAACTGCTTGGGCACAACTCTTTACAAAACTGAATGTAGATGGAGTGTCCAAATCGTCAAAAAATATACCACCTACTCCTCTTCGTTCTCCTCTGTGTGGTATATTAAAATAGTCATCACACCAACGTTTAAATTTAGGATAGTATGCTTTGTCATGTTGATCACAAGCATTTTTTAATGAACGATGAAAATGGACTGCATCTTCCTCATTCAAATAATAAGGAGTTAAATCAGTACCTCCACCAAACCACCACTGCAATAATTTACACAATTATAAAACCATAATACATGATTATTATTACCATTATACCATTGTATTTAATGATTTAATTTTATAATACATCTATAATATTGTGACAGTTAATAAACTAATCACAACTTTATAGAAACATAGATTATAACAAGCTGGGTTGTGAATTTAATGTACTAAAAAACAACGAGGCATGCACAAAAAGTTTAAATAAAATGTGAAGTTCTGCAAAATAAATGTAACACAAATTAATTTATAATTAGATTTATAGCTTGAACGGTATGCAAATAAATTATAATATGCATTTGTTTATAGAAATATTTCAAACTAATAAGCTTTTTGTAATAAAATATCAAGAGTAGTAATATCTATCGGTATAAAATGCCAAACTTAAATTTGTCTCCTTAATAGGAAATAATATTATTTAAAAAATGAATAGGTGCATACTTGTATGCAGTTATGTTTTATACATGTCTAAAATATTAAAAACATTCAAAATACAATTTTTCCTGAGGATAGTAATATTTTCAATTTGTATTTCACTTAGTTTCAAAAATAAGAATGAAATTCAGAGATATCCAAAATATTATTCAATTTATACCCCAGGTAATAAGTGATAATATTTATTACATATTATATACCTCTATTGTATTATCAGGTAGAGTGACTTCAAAGTACCTATAGTTAAAATGTATAGTAGGTACATAAGGATTGCGTGGATGTATCACTGCACTGACACCTGCAGCAAAGAATGGAAGTATTTGGCCACCTTTAAAATTTTTACCTCTGAAATATAATAAACTATAAGTTAAAAAAAAAAAATTGGTTTACACATACAGATTGAAGATGATAAGTGTATCAACATATACAATTTTTAGCGTACCATACATAATATACAGATTGTTAATTAAATACTCAATTAAATATTTATATGTTTTTATGTCTCATATATGAAAAAAGGTACTAAGTAAAATAGTTAAATCTATAGTTAAATTTAAAAAATGACGTTTGAAATTGTGTAGGTTATTTTGTAAATGGTTAAATATTATAATTTTAATTTAAAAAATAAAAAATAAAAATAAGAATACTAATAAATACAAGATACAACATTTCTATTTAAAAAGAAAAATGGGTCCAGTACTCAAATGTCTTAAGTGTAACTAGGATATCAAACAAAATTCATTTTGAATACAAAATGTAGGTACAACTATTTATTATAAGATAAATAGTATATTATAGTACTATTTATAACTAATGGTACAACTACACAAGTATCCAAAGACAAATTGTTGTACATACTTTAATTGAGTAAATCCTGCAATAATACAAACAAAATACACTAGAATATCCTCAATCGGTGGTCAGTAACCAGAGTACCCCAGTAGTACAGGCTTATACATTAGAGGAAAAAATTAGGATTATAATTTATAATTAATACTAAAGGCTGACCGGAACTTACTGCAGTAAGTATAAAAAAAAGTTGTTATACTTTGTAAGGCTGAGTATATAAAGATTTCATCAAAACATGTCTAAAAAATTAGAATAATTTCTTTTTGATTATGATTTAAGACTAAAAGTTATCAACACATAGGTCAAATATTGATATCCGTGGATATTTAAGACCTCATCAAATGTATTATTAAAGTTTTAAACACATATTATGAAAATAATGATTGAATATTTTACATATTGAGTTATAAATGCTTATGCTAGATGTTCTTAATCAAAGCATTTATTTTACTCATAGATAACTCAAAGAATTGTCATTCGTATATCCAAGAAAATGTTTAATTTAAAGGTGGTACTGGGGTATAAAAATATTGATAACCATTGCTGTAAAATAATCATATAAAGGTCAGAAAATGATACTAATAATCAACTAAACAGAGATTTCTAAGTAACACAGATAAAATAAGGAGTTCCAACATTGGGCTTAATGGCAGAGAATTTATTAAATATTAGGGATGGATCAAACTTAAGTTTTTATGATAGCAAACTAAATTTTTTGTCTAACTGTTCAAATTTGAATTTATTCTAACTTTTATAAATTTAACCATCATACATTTTTAAATTAAATAGTGCTAACTCATAGTTTACACTTAATAAAAAAAATTACAACTAATCTGATGCCATGCTAAAAAATTTCAGACTTGATTATCCTCAAATATTATTTAAGATGTTTGAATTCAAATTTAAAATTTTCTCCAATCAAATTTTTTTAAGTTAAATGTGTTTTAGAGAGATTTTTATATTTATGTATGTATGTCACATCCACTTAATGAAATCACTCATTTCAAAAAGTGGACATCCACATACTACATTGTATAAACAATTTTTTTCCTTTTCATGAAGTGGATGAAATTCATTTTTTGTGTATTATTATTATACACGAGTATATTTGGTATTAGGTAATTGAACGATTTGTACTAATTTTTATGAAATTATCTGAGTATTTATCGGTAATTGTGTATTAAATAAATAATAAAATATAAAATAAAGCTTAAGAAATTATATGATTTAATTTTCATATTTCATTATATTTTATGGAAAAAAGATTATTATTATTATTATATTATATTAGGTATATCCAGCAACTATCATATGCAATAATAATATTACACAATGTGGAGAAAATTTATTTCATCCACTTCATGAAAAGGTTAAAAAATTGTCCATATAATGTAGTAAAATGTTATTTTCACTAAATGGATACATTTTGTGAAGTGGATGTCCACTTCATGAAATGAGAAATTTCACTAAACGGACGAGACATATTTATTTATACATAATATTACCTACATATTAGGCATTTTATTTACAATTACCTAGCTCTCATCTGATCGATGGCTCTTGGAGGTAAATTACCATGAACTACAGAAACATTAACACCAGCTTTTTCAAAAACTTCTCCTTCCTGCATTACACATGTAACTCCACCACCACCTTCAGGTCTTAACCATCGATCTACTTTGAACTTTTCTTTTGGTTCTTCTTTTTCAAGTGCTCGACAAAATTCAGCCTATAAAAAACATTTTAATAAAGTAGTATATTAACAAAAATAAACTTTCATAAATTTGTAGTTATTTACTTGTATATCCATAATCATAAGTTCCATAATTGTTTTCATATCTTCAGGTCTACTTTTTAATGTTTGTGAGTCTGTAACAGTGTCTGCCATAAATTTGTCAATAGCCAATGATTTTGCTGTTACAGTACTGTATGATATGCCCAGCGCAATAAGTGTCCCAGGGATTAATCTACAATTGATGAACATAAAAGATTGTATAGCAATATTATTTTTAATTGTTCATACATAACACATTAAAAATTAAAAGCTATACAACAAAGTTCTGACCTCAGTACCAAAATCTATGTTATATCAACTCTTTGTGACCTAGACTAGACATATTATTTTTTACAAGCACTTACCTGAATTTTTTGTCATCCTTCATTTTTAAGCACGTCGCCGTGTAAACGGTCTTAATGGTGGAAGATACGATTTTCAATATCATCGTTTCGACGTCGTATGTCACAAATGCCTAATATACAATTATTAAAACACAGCTTGAAACGTAACCGCTGTTCCAAAGCACAAAAACTGTAATTAAAAAATAATTCTCGTGACTACGATTGTGAGAAAGTTAAGTACTTATTGCTCATTGGTCTGTCACTCGTGACAGCATAGACATTTTATATAATCTATAATATTATCATATATCACAATTGTCATTGGCACGACGTATTGCGTCCTTAATAATAAATAATAATATTATAACCCGTGCCCCGAATCCCGAAGTTGAAGATGTGCACGTTGAGTACGACAAATGACTATACGGAAATATTTCATGTAATCGTGTATTTGTGTTATCCCGGTCATGATAAAAGATATTGATAATGCCGCGGGCACGTTTCGAAAAACTAATCAGTGATAGTGTGATACTGATAGTGTGTAGCAATCTACTCGTACACGGCTGGTGTAGTGGACTACGTGATGTATATCACGTCGGTACAGAATAATTCCGTGACGTCATGAGTTGGGAAAAAGACTTATCTACTTAGAAAGTAAGAACACAGGTCACAGACTTCATGAAAATTGTCTGTGGTAAGAATGTAAGGTACATATTACAAATATTATATAGTATTATAGACAATATAACTATGACTATAAATTGTCTATTAGTATTATAGGTACTATTAACTTTAGTTAGGTACCTATATAGTAATAACCTAACCGAAGACCTAACCTATTGCTAAATGGTAATATCGTAGTTCACGAATTATAATATAGCTATATCTTAGTTCATATTTATTGCTTACTGCTTAGATCAAAATATGCAATACCTATATGGCTATATATTTTATTATTATGTACCTATGATCTATACGGTAATCAGCCAAAATATTCAAATTTGAAAATGTAGAAAAACGTTTTTATTATTAAAAACAAACATTTTAAAATGTCATACTTAAATAATATGAAATAAAATATAAGTTAAAATGTAAAATAATTCAATTACGTAGATTGGCAGATAACACTTGATTTTATAATAAAATTCGCTCTTAAGATTAATTCAATCTGGAATCTGGATAGTCCGATAGTGAGTTATACTAATAGTAAAATAAATTACTTTAATAGCAATAATATCACAAAATATACTCCATAAACATTAGTCGTTCTAGTCAAATAATATATAATACTATTGTTGTTATTATTATTCGTTGTTTTTTTTTTCATTTTTTTTATTACAGCTCTTGACACAAATAAGCTCAACTCAGGGGCGGATTGAGTGGAAGTTTTCAGCTCGGAAGAATACAAAAGTACAGGCCCACTTATTAATTTACCAAATATTAAATTTTATCTAAAATCTAAATGTATTACTATTTACTATACAAAATTTAAGATGCTATGTGTACAATAGTTTACAGATTTACAATTTTCTAAGTACCTTGATGGGTAAGTATATAACGCAATGCAAGTGAATAGTTTAAATTATTAATGTTTTTATATTTTATTTAAAATCTTATACAATATTATACATCCTAACATTCGTGTTTATGCCAATACTTATTATAGTACATGATTATAAGTAGGTACTTATGATATAAGCTATTATAACCTTATGATCGTGCTCATTCGTGCTATATAGTGTATAATTTCTTAATTAATCGTAATATTAACAATGTAGTTATTATCGGCCCCAAATTCGTTTTTTACATGTGGTCACAGTGGCCACACTGGCTTTTTTTGAGATATTTATAGGTATAAGAAATTTTCGATTTTTATGAGTTTTTATGTAATTATTAACGATTCACTTAAAAAATATTTGAGCGTAAATCCACAATAATTTTTATGATCGTCTTAAGTAAGAGTTTTAACAAATTTAGTTAAAATTACAATAATTTGAAAATTATTTTGAGTTAGGAATTCAAACATTTTTTGCTTTTTATCCTATATAGGATCTGAAAATTTAATATAAGATTCCTCTTAAGTTTTTCCACCTTTAACAATAAAGATGATTTTTTCCTGAACTAACTGTATAGATCTATACATTTTTATCAAATATTTATCGTAGCATTTTCTAGATGATTTAAAAAATATGATTGTTATAAACATTGAATTATAAAGCTTTTTTGTTTATTTTCTTTAAAACATGCATATAAAAAAATTTTATCAGTTAAAAAGTTTGAAGGATTATATTAAGTTGTTCTTACAGCAATTTAAAAAAAAAAAAAAAAATAGGTTCATTTTTTGTTTTATAGTTATTTGAAGTTCAAAGTTAGGACAAAATTGAATATTTAAGCGAAAAATAACGGGTTTTCTTTAACGATATGGCATATTTATTTTGATTTAGGTATTAGAAACTTTTCACAATTACTTATATTATTATTTTCTGGGCTCAATGAAATTATTTAGACTATTTTTAAGCTATTTTTACCTCGATCCTCAGTGCAGAGTTAACTATTATTGACGCCCTTGGGAAATCATATTTGTTTCTTTTATTCAACACAAAATCTTATATAAATTCTATAGAGAAGCAAAGATTTCCCATACATTTAAACCTCACGAATAATTCTTTTATCAAAGCAATAGAATCCGTATATTATTCATATCTTAATTTAATACAGATTACCAATAATTAATAAACAATGAATATTATTCAAAATTAATCATATATAATACATTTTTTAATTGTACAAATAATTTTTTTATTTTTTTTGTACAGTGTTTTTAATAAAAATAACGTCTATATACCTAACCTAACCTAACTTGAAATGTTGATGATTGATACTAAGAAATTTCTTAGAAAGTTTATAGCTATGACGATTACACAATATTATTCAACTTAGAATGTCTATAAGAAAAATTGTGTTATTATATTTTTAGGTTTTCTTGGTTACAATTTTAACTATGTACTTATGACTTATGAGTAAAGTTATTTGAAATTTTTATTCCTTAGCTATAAAAATTTAACATTTTATACATTTTTAACTGCAAAATAAATTGCAATTTTTCGTTATTTTGATGAATGATAATAAAAAAAACTTGTATATGTATCTAAATATTTTTAAACTACTGCTATAGTACTACTTTCAAAATATATGAAGAAATTTGTATAACATTTTCAAGTTTTTTGACCCACCAAAATTTTTTTTTACAATAAATAAAAAAACAATTAAAAATCGAAAATGTTCTATGTCTATAAATATCAAATAGTTCAAAAAGACTCAAAATATTTTTTAAATGGTTTATGTGGGTGAAATTCAAATTTTTCTGATATATGAAGCTTAGAATAAGAAATGTTTAGTATTGATATTAAAATTGATTAAAATCATTTCGGAATAGCTGACACCATGCTGATTGTATCAGTATAATATTATAATGAACACCAATTTTTAATACAGGCTAGATGACAGAAGATTCCATATTTTGGGAAATATGTCCTAGGGACAGTGGTTAGTGACAATAAAAAAAGAAAATTAACGGCATAGAGTAAAAAGAATATACAGTGTGATCATAATTTAAGGTACCTAACACTAAATATTTCGGCCGGATGAACTTGTATTGAAATGAATTTTGGGAGGAACCCAAGGGGTACTGAAATATAAATTTTTAATACTTACGGTTAGGTCCATGTATGTAATTTTATTTTTTTCACAAAATGTTATAATTTCTATACAAAAATCTTCACTTCCTCTAGGACAATTATGTTTTTAATTTTTGTAATTCATTTCCGGACATTAAATAGTATTGATAGTAAGTAATAACTAATATTATGGGATTAGAATTTAAACTATTTTCAGCTGTGGAATTTTATTTCATACTTTATTAATTCTAATATTATGATAATCAGATAATGTTTTAAATTATTTTAATACCTACAAGTTCATCCAGCCAAAATATTTAGTGTTACCTTAAATCGTGAATCGTGATCACACTGTATACATGCATTAATTTAAAACTATTTCTAAAATACCAACTGGATTTGGACTAGGGTAGGTAATTTATTAGGCATCATAGATATTATTATTCATGAAAGTATTTAGGTTTATTCAAAATCTATTTTTAATTTGTCATCAAAATATTATATATATATAATAAAAATACATTTAAAAACTAAAATAAAAAGAAGGTGCTGTCGACTGTCTGTTTAATTAAATATCTTGTACTTCCTATTATAATAGTTTATTTTGACGACTTAATGCATTTACAAATCGACCGGTCTATGAACTTTAATGGATTTATGTTGTCATAATTTAAATTCAAAGTTATAGCTTATAGGTACTGCATGGTATACTATATACCTATGGACATAAAATTTAACATATTAATTTTCATTAAACTTCACGAAGAAGAACTTTTGTGTACGGATTATATACTTAACGTTAATGAACTTTTTACTTCTTAAGAAACATATATAGGTACCTAAGTTAGACATAATACGTATTATAAATTAAAATAAAATAATTTGTTACATTAAACTTACATATTATGTATATATTTATTAGGAAATAACTTTTCTGTGTTATGAAAAATATTTAAAAATTAGTTTCAAGATAAAAATTTAGTAAAATTTGTTTTTAATTTTACGAACCTTTTAGTTTATTAAATAATTATATAGTTGATCTATATTATATTATTATGGGCACCTACTTTGTGTTTAAAATATAAATTGTAAGTTTTTCAGATAAAAAAAGGTACCTGCATTGTTACTATATACTTATAAAAATCCTCCATAAATGCAGTAATTAGTACAAAAATTTTATGCAAAATGTATAGGTATTAAATTGTATTAAGCATTATATTTTTTGTTATTTAATGAAAATAGTCAAAATACTACATTATCTTTAGTTATTGTATAGAATTATTTATCTCTATATAATTTCAACTAGTTTGTACTTTGTAGTAGCTTAATAAAATACAAGTTTTCAAATAAATGGTAAAGGGGAAGTTCTAAGTTCTAACCTCTCTTTATTGCTTATTTGTTTCCAATTATTTAGTTCTAAACTAATCTAAAAATAAATTCTCTGAGAAAATTATATTAATTTACGATACTTTAAATCATTGCAGTATGTTCGTTATCATCTACTTGTCTAACTATCTTTTTTAACGATCTCTGCATGGTAACCTTAAAGGACATATTATTCATACGTTTTAGAATATTTTTTTTTGTATTGCCTAAAATATACAAACTCTTTTGAAATAAACAAAATAGATATTGTTATTCCCATAAAAGATTTGTTTTGTTTAAATACAAATCTGAAGTTTCATCTCATATGAATACAATCTAAAAACTAAATACGCCTATCCATGA